GAGTTTCTTCTTGTATGTAATAGTTAAACCTTACAGCAAACTGACATATTACAATGACAACTTTTTTTTTGTTGAATGTTTGATTTTACTGACTATTAATAAATTCGCTGCAGAAAATATGTAGGACATATGTTCATTAACATTTTTTTTTGTAATTGGATTAGCTATCATATGTCAAAGTTTGATGGTGAGCTAATAAATCACCCTGTATAAAGAACGATATCACCTCAAATCACAGAGGTCACTTACGGGCGAGGTGCTAGTTTTTATAGATCAACATGAAATCGTTAACTTTGGAAGATTTTAGCCATCAAGGTTGCTTTACTTTTGCCCCAAGTATTAGTGACGGTGTGTCGCAAAATTTAACCAAAAATATTAAATTATAATTCATTTTATCTTAAAAGGCAAACATTTTGCAAGTAGTGTTCAAAAAACATAAATGATTCCAACTTCTTGTAAAGTTGGTCGTTAATGTTGTGGGGTCTAAGACTCAAATATAGTTTTCTATTATAATTTTTTCGTTATTCTAACTATTAGACTGCCTAATAACTGAAATATCTGAGTTATATCTAAGAAGAAGATGTTAGTAACCACCCCTTATACTCACATTAACTTAATAGTTAGCGTTTGTCAAAAAGAAACGAAAGAACTAAATTAATATCACATCAAATAAAAGTTGGGTTGCACAAAAAAAATGTTGTACATAGATACCTAGGCACCACTTTATCTTAGGTTGAGATTGTATAATCTCGGCCCAGCTTCACTCAGCATCCTCTAAAACCTTTATCACGACTTGTTAATGATGAACTTAGTTCAATGAGTAAACATTTATTAAATCCGGTTTTGGGAAAATAAAAACATCCTCAGGATTGATGAACATTAATTTGGGTATTCAAAAAAATCTTTTAGAATTATACATGATGGAACATTTTAGTACATGGCCACAACACGTGAATCATAAATATCCCACCAACTTTTTCCTCTTCGTACCGTTTACGTCACATCGTTGAACGTCGCGTCGAAGGAAGTATAACGGCACCGACGACGTTCTCGATTAGCTCAGTAAGCAGTGACGTGCGTTGTGTGTATTGCTCGTTTGCTCGTTCAGTCAGTCGGTTGTTTTTCGCCGCCATAAGCGTTTCATCACAGCAGTGTTATGCGGTTATCGGTCTTAATTGGCCAAGAAAACGACCGGGTTCGAAGTGAACGTGTCAATAGATCTTAAATAGTGTTTTATTTAGGCGTAGTCTTTATGGTAGTCGCTTCGGTTGTCCACTGGTAGAGTACGAGTAGTAAGTCTTTAAATTAAAATAGAGGAAAGTCTCTGCATATTCCGTTTACGCCCTTGGTTTTCCGGAAAATTCGTTCTTTCATTCCATCGGAAGGGTTCAACGGCCTTCCGGTTCTTGCACACGCACCACGTACTCGGTAGGTGGAGGAGGAGGCGTATGGAGCGTGCGGTACGCGATTTTGACGTGATATGTGAGGCGCCACTGTACGGGAACATTTCCGAGTATAACTTATAAGATGCCGTCTCTTTTCGTTTCGCTTTTGAAGCATACTACAGATTAAAAGAGGGAAAGAGAAAGGTTGCCGGCAATGAACACGCCCTGTGCATCTCGAGTATTGTTCAGTTCGATGAAACGCGAAAGTTGATAATATTTTTTGCACTCCATCTCTTTTTACTGTGAAGGTTAAACGAGATTGCGTTTCCTTTCGATTGTTGGAAAGTAATATGTTAAGAAAAATATTCCAGTATTAGATAATAGATAACGTTTTCGACTTTGGTAAACAAATTTAATCTTCTTTTTCAAGTTATGTCAGTTGGGCGAAGTATTTTCTAAATTTAAACGGCAGATGTGTTTATTTTGATATTTTTAGGTTGGGGTATCAAAATATTGATGAAATGCATTTATTACTATTAATAGATAAGTAATAGTGATTCATTTAAAACTTAAAGATGCACATTTTTAATGCTATTACCGATTTCAGAATTTGTTCATCATCAGGGCGATGACAATTAAGTGAAAGGATAGTTCATTCAAGTATTTTCTTATTGATATAAGATGTCAATTTCAGTTTCGGAAGACTACAGCTCGTGTCTTCGTCATAAAAATGTTGCAGTTGTGTGGTATGGTCGTTACCAATTCTCAAAATTTTTGCGATAGATAACAGTTACCTCAGTTAGTTCATGGTCATGTAATTTTAATGTTCTCGTTGTTTTAATATTCCTAAAAAATGTCAGAAAATATTTCATAAAAAACTAATAGATTTTGACATCAACACAGCAAAATTTATTTTGTAAATCTTAAAAATTGTCTTATACTTTTATGGAAAATTGTGACATCTTGATGCAGCCACAAATGGACCTTGGTTATTTATTTTATGAATTCACAGTAGAGTTTTGTCTCCATAATGGATAAGGTTTTAATGGAAGTTTCGATTACTATCAAACCTTGACTGAATTTTGCTTCGCTAAAGCTATTTTTTTTTCTTATTTTCATCATCCTTGGGTTGCATTTCTTAATAATGATCCTTGGAGGTGCGTGTAACATCTTAATTTTTGCCTAAAAAAGAATGCTTATTGATTCTGTAATCAATTTTATTCAAATGTTGAAAAAGTGTTTCCATCAGGCATAATCTATAAAACTAGATACACTAAGAGAATTGTGAAAAAACAAACCGTTTGCAAAAATATTAATACAAAATATTAATATGAGGATTTCCATTGCTATCAAAACTTGACTAGTATTGCTATCGGCTGTAGGTCTTAGTAATGGTCTGTGAAAATGTCCAAATCCAATCTTGCAGAAGATCTTAATTTGTGGCCAAAACAGAATACCTATTTATTTTGTCATAAATTCTATTGCGATCTAGAAAAAACTTCCCATCTGTTTTTGAGAGTTGAGACTCAATGGAAATAAAAATTAAAAAGTCAGTACAACAATGTTTTGGACAGATCGCCTTAATCAGGCATGACTAAAAATACGATGTAATAAAATAAATTTAAAACACTATATTAAATATGTAAGAAATAAATCATCAATTTCCAAGGATTTTGATGTGGAGGAGAGAGGCGTGTATTTGCATCATGTTACTTCTTTTTTAAAATCATTTTTGATTTATACACTTATTGTTAGTCGTGCCTGATGAAAACCTCACTTCATCATTTTTTTAATGTCTATTTCAATAACATTTTCTCTTCTAGTATAAAACTAGAAATACCAAGAGCATCACGAGATATTGTTTTTTGCTTTCATAGGGTGACCTTAGGTGGTAGTTCTTTTTTATAATTCTCTTTTACTTTTTCAATTTGATGGAAGATTTTTATCTTAAAACAAAATACTTATTCTTCCTGCCATAAGTTCTATTCCAATCTTAACAAAATTTTTCAATCAGACATTCTCTTTAATACTAGATACGACCCGCGTGTCTAGATATAGACTTTTTAGATTAGGCAGAATAGAAGACAAAAACCGTTATCAAAAATATACATGCAAAACATTAATAGGAGGATTTTTGTCCTTTCTAATTTTCAACAAGCTTAGGTTGTAGTTCTTTTTTATAATTCTCTTTTGCTTTTTCAATCTGATGGAAGATTTTGTTCTTAAAACAAAATACTTATTCTTCCAGCCATAAGTTCTATTCCAAGCTTGACAAAATCTTTCAATCAGACATTCTTTTTAATACTAGATACGACTAGCTTGTCTAGATATAGATTTTTTGGATTAGACAGAATAGAAGACAAAAACCGTTATCAAAAATATAAATGCAAAACGTTTAGAATTGCGACACCTAGCGGTGGTAGCACAAAGTGTTTATGATAGCGTCATTTTGTAGAACTTGTTGAGTCAATCAACCGTTTTCTTTTCTTCACAAAAACGTACAGCTTCTGAATAAAACGCTTTGATTATGTCATTTACGAAACATCATCTTATATCTTTTCTAAATTATATCACAAAACATAATTCTACAGCAAGTCCATAAAGTATGGACTGGTTATAGACTACAGGTCATCAACATTTTTTGCTAAATCGTTAGTGCACATTCTTTTTTTGATATGTATACAAAAATATTAACAATAGCCACATAAAAAGTTTGTATTCTTTCAAATTTCTAATCATGAGTAACTATGGTGAGTAATTGTTTCAAATCATTTCCTGCGTACCAAAAGCTTATTTAGCGAAGTTTAGTAAGCGCATTAAAAGATTAATTTAAATTATTATTCAGTTTTTGTGTTAATTATTTGTTAGTTTTCATCCTCGGTGTATTAAAATGGCAAATTTGTCTCAACCTGAAATAATATTAATGTAGTTGTTATTAATGTAATTGATCAACAATTGTTTAGCCAAAGCACGATGAGTTGTGACTAAATTTAAAAATCATGGAAATGAGGTAAATCTCCCCTTCAACATTTCCAACGAAATTGGATTATCGACCATAATCTTTCTGTCAGGGGTAATCTTGGATTAAATTTGACTTCTTCTTAGTTTGGTGATAATTTACATAGAAGATGTGAAGAGATTTTTTAAGCTATCGATAGCGCAGTTTTGTTAAATACCCAGGTATTTATTTTCAAGGGTAAATTTCCTGGTTATATACCCGAGGGTATTTACCCAAGATGGGTAATTTACAGGTATTTATAAAATTTAATTCAAATTGAGTTGATGATCGTTTTGCAAGCACTTCAAGAATGCAGAGTCGATTATCGATATATCAAACTTAATTATAATATCTACAAGAATGCTACAATGACGGTAAAATGAATGAAATGAAGAGAGTAGAAGTAGTAAAGTACTGATTGTGAGTAAAACAAGGCGATGCACCTTTGAACCCAAATTGTTCATCACAGTCCTCCGAGTGCATTTAAACAACTGGATTAGACCCAAAAAGGCATAAACATTGATTGCAAATGCTATAGACGATATAGTTCTTATATTGGATAGCTTTGGAGAGATTAAACTAATGCTGAACGACTTAAAGGAGGTGTGTGCAATAGCCGGGCTAAATATCAACGAGGAGAAATCAAAATTTATGATAAATCTTGTTCTCAGCGCCTAATATCAATATTGAGGATAATGAGATTGAGAGGATTGACAGCTATGTATATCTTGGTTATGAGGTTCATGTATCAAGAGATAATCAAACAAGCGAACCACACTTGTATGGGCAGCCTACGGGAAACTTAGAGACATCTTCAAGAGAAAAGGCTGAGAAAGGTTTTCAATCAATGCGTGTTTCCGGTTATGACTCCACTACCAGGAGGGTCCAAGTAACGCAAAGATAGATGGGGAGGTCGATCCTGGGTCTAACTCTGAGGGACTACATACGAAATGAAGACCTATGAAGAAAACCTGACGTAAATGATGTGGTCAACATTTTGGCAAAACTTAAGTGGAATTGGGCGGGTCATGTCGCGCGAGTGAAGAATGAGCAGTGGACAAAACGGTTGCTTGAGTGGAGACCGCGACGGAACAGACGAAGTAGACGTCAATAGAATGACCAACAATCGGATTCAGACAGCACAGAATAGAATCGAATGGAACAGAATAGGGGAGGTCCAACAATGGACGCAAAGGGCTGCTTGGTGATAATAATCATAATAACTTGATTTAATCTAAATTACGACGGATTCGTCTAATGATAATGATTCGTCTTAGATTGTTGACAATTCTTCGTCTACAACGTCCTCATCATCTTTCTCTTCATTTTTTTTTTGAATTTGATATATTTTTACTGGTATCACTTTTATACCCACTGTTTGGGTATTTACCTAGCGCTCATCACTGGTCGATAGGGAAGTTGCTGGCAGCATTGTGGGCTAAAAATTGTAGATGGAAATGAATTGGAGGAATTTCGGATTGTATACACTTAAAGAGTGGGGTTTGCGGGTGTCGGATATGCATAATACATCTAATAGCTAACCTGGTTCCTCTAGACGCGTCAGATAGGATTCTATGCACCACTATATTCGATTTTCGATTTTTTCATCTTCACCTTAATGGCATGATCAGAAAACTTTAACATTCTGTCAATCGCAATCCCAGGTAGTTGCTTTGGTAAATACTGAAATATGGCAGTGGATGACGTTGGGAGAAGGAGCATAGATGGGAAGACATGGAACGAAGAATTGGATTTACTTGAATTCGTTATTTCTGCAGCTAGTTCTCTGTAGATTGAATCAACACCTGCAACTTGTGAACTATTGATCCGACGTTTGGATCGTATGTTACCAAAGTGGTGTCGTTATCGTAGAGTAAGGCATACGAGTTCAAATCAAAAGTATTTAGGTTGTTATTGTAAATATCGCTGCAAAACACGTTATAGATTGCCGGGAAGACACTTGGGGACCAAAAATTGATTTTGTTGAAGAATATAATTTGTAAGCAACCACGATGAATACTTTTAAAAGTTATCGTATTTCTTGACGTTGCAACATTTACATTGAGCAGAATAGATACAGAAAATTGTCAGCGTTTGGAATCAAAATCCAAGTTGGAGAAAAGAAACACCTAGTATCAGCAGAAGATGAATGTGTGGGTACGAATAATACAACATTCTTATCTTTCTGGTCCCATACTTTTTTTTGAAGGAACTTAACTGGTGATGAATGCATGGATTTTTTACAAAACGATCATATTCTCCTGTAAGAACAAGATGGAGCGAGAGTCGTATTCAAGCTTAATTAAACGAATTGTTTCGCAATCGATGAATTGAAAGAAGAGGACTAATTGCAGGGTAATCGAGATTATCAGATTTGATTCCGTTGGATTTCTAAAAAGTTAAATTAATAAATGCTTAAGATGGACTTTTTAAAATCAGATTGTAAGATGAAATTTATCCAATAATTTCCGATTTTTTTTTGCACATATCAGAAAAAGAATATTGTTCATATTCTGTAACAATCGAGGTTGAAATTTTCAATTGAGGTCTTCAATATTTTCATCAAATAAAGATTTAGCAAAAATTTTGGACTGTTTCAGCAATTTTTCTTGACAATGTTTTTATGGTGCATTCATAATTTTTGCAAAATAAATTATTTTGCCATACTTAGTCATTTGTTTCCTCTTTACTAGCTTTGTCAACAATTTTATCTCATCAACATAGTTTGATTGTTAATCACCAACGTTGTCCAAATAATTTTAAAATTATTTTTTGTCTTAGTTATACAAATAGATTATTTTGCCGATTGAATATGAATGACCAACCAAAAAAAGAAATAACATTATCATTCAAAGAGGTCGTCCCAAAGTGAATCACGGCCAAGTTATCACCTACTATCTAAAACCAAAAATAAGTAATGGCTATCAGTGACCTGTATGTCTACAAATTCGTCGGGCGTGTGTAATATTTCAATTAGAGTCGCCCAAAAATACCACCCAAAGTAAGAATTTAGGTCTTGCGACAAAGTTTCATGTACGAAATTAAACTTTGAATCATTTCAACGTTCCTAAATTAACGTAACCATTCCACCTGTACTCGGAAAACAAAACCAAAAACGGATTTGAAACATATTTTAATAAGATTTAAAATCTCCTCTTTAATATCTCTATCTCATTTTTTTCTTACTCGCTCTTCGTGCATATTCACTTTCGTTCGGCGACGTTAGGCGTTGCGTAACGTGTGCATCCGGTTTGGTTGCGAATTGAAAGAACGAACTGAACGGTGCAACCAGGGGTGTAGAGCGCAAGAATGCGCAGACGAGCATTCTTTCCACGGCCATATATGCAGAGGCTCTCGCGTCGCGGTGTTGCAGTCAGTGCGCGTCTTTTCGCCAGGTTTGTCCTCCTTTCAAATCTTCTTCCTTCTTCGACATCGTCATCGTCGAAAATGAGCGCGCCTCCGCATCATCACTATACTTCCGGAAGGACGATGCACCCCAGAAGGTCATACGATGTTTCATTTACAACACATCGGTATGTTTTTATTTATTATTTTTTTTTTTGTAAAGTGTTAATCTTGCTGATTTAATGAATAAACTGTGTATGTACATTTTTTTATCTTGTTATGAAATTGATTGTAGAAAAAAATTTAATTCTTATGGTGTTACTAAGAAATTTGATTACAGGAATTCATATTTAAAGAAGGATTTCTTGGAAATAATTAAAGTAATATGTGGTTGAGTTGGTATGATATAATCTGGATAATTCTAAATCTTCTTTGTCAGTTAAAAAAATGAATGATCTCTTAAAGATGGAAAAACCGTTTCTAAGAAGAGTCGAATTTTGGGCCCTCCATAAGAAGGAAACGGGGGGCGGGGGGCGCCCCCCTAACGTCCAGTTGGACTAAACCTGTTTCCTTTAGCTGTTTGGCCGGGGGGGTTCCCCCGTAGACCGGGCACACACTGCACCGGCACCGGCCCCATTGTAGTCGGTTCCGAGCGAATTTTCGGGCCGGATCTCGTTTCGGCAACTAGATTGGGATTCCATTCCGCGTGCGCCATTCACCCCTTTTTTTTGGTACGTGCCTCGACCGGTGTGTTAATCCGGCTCGAATGGGTACGAAGAACCCTTCCCTCTCGGCCCCCACAACCCCGTTTTAGCTCCTTCACGTGCTAACGATGTGTTATGCTTCGGTTAAATCACCTTGAGATTTTTTTTCTTCTTAAATGAAATCCTTTTAGGAAAATGTTAAATTATTTTAGATTTTTTTTCCTCGTCTAAGTGGTAGAAACCATATAAAATCGTGTTTTTCTACTTGTTTGTCTCAACTGATTTCTTATTTCTTTTTTTTTTACGAAATTGGGACTCAAGAAATAAACGTGACGTTAACCGAAGGCGTCGATGATTGGGTTGTAAGAGTAACCCCACGATCTTTGGAATGTGAGTGACCTGAAATCCTCGATTTTAAAATAACTTTGGAACGGTGTAAACACGTCTAAGACTAAAATTGTAGTTAAAAAAAAAAGAATCGGTTTATGTTGTCGGCTCCTTTGGGTCATTGATGGCAACAATTGGCTCCCGATTCGAAACACTTCGCCGATACGAGTTATTGTTCTTAAATTGGCCCGTTTAATAAAACACTCCGACCGCGGAGAGGACACTCAACGCAACGAGCTTCCAGACAAACATTGTTCTGTCGGCCCGTTTGATCTCAAAAAAAAGCACCACCATACAAGTTTTCTTTTTTGTAACGTACAATATGAATCGGGGGTTTACTTTGTAATAATTCATTTTAAGGATCTGTTTTGATAACGGCAATTAATTTGGAATCCAAAACTCGGGGGGTTCCCAATATAAACTCGGTTGTGTATAATCGACGAGACGGTTAGTTATTTTTGGTTACACTTTAGTGCGGAAATAAATCAACAGTTTCTTTTTTTGGACGATTGAGTCACCGGAAACACTTTATGTTTCAAATAAAGCACAAAAATATTTTATATCCAATATTATGATTTTTTTTCTTATTAAAAGCTTCATGTTCGTTTTATTAAAACATAAACTTCTCCTACACCGGTTTTCTTATCTTAATCAGCGGCGCCACTTATATTATGTATAATGTAACATGTTTCGTTAGTGTCCCCCCGTATAAAAATGTAAAATATACACAAGTTACAATTAACGTAGTCGCCAATTCATCATCATTCTTTGCTGGACAGGAAGAAGTGTTATGTTTCATTAAAAAAATAATAATGCTTACGCACGTTGACACCGATTAATCCGCATGTCTGTCGACTGCATTACAACATTTTCGTTATCGTTTGTTGATAGTGTCGCGAAAATGGGTCGTTGTTCAGGACCGGATCCAAATTTTTAATTGATTCTGAGGTACCTACTTGAAATGTATGTTTGGTGGAGATTTTAACAAAAATCTCTTTCGGTGCTTTTTTGTAACCTCAATGTTTAAACATACGGAATTGGAGAAAAAAATAAAAGAAAATTTTTTGTTGTAGTATTTATTAATAAGTTCTCAACCCATTTGTCGTCAAGTTCAATAATTTTCACTATTTCTTTCGAAAAAATGGTTTTAATATCTTTTTGTAATTCGCGACGGTAATGAAAGTACTCAAACGGGTGCTGTAATGAGATTTTAGTAACATTTTATGGAACCAGTTCAAGTTGGTGACATTGGGTCATTAATTTTTCTAGTTGTCAATGTGACAACACTGAGCAATTTCTCTTATTTTGGGAAGTGTACATGAAAAATTTTTTTCAGGTGAATACATTTTGTGTTTTGACAGTTTCTAATTGTCAATTCAAATTTCTATTTTCAAGTGTTACCAACTGCTACATACCTATTTCCCTACATTGTCAAATTTATTTTATTTTTGTTAAAAAAGAAAAAGGATAGAAACGCGAATTACGAATTTCTGACCATATTTTGGCGCAATGTGTTGTCTATTAGATCTATTTAGGCATGTTTTGATTCAAGAGTTTTACAGTTCCGAACACTTCTGAACTTTTCTGCGCATATACAGGGTGATTCTCAATCTATACGCATAAACTTGGGGATTTACTCCTCATGACGAATAATGACTAATGGGCGAAAAAATTTGTAATAAAAGATTTTCTGTTTCATAGATACCCGTAATATTTACTTACAAATTAAGAATACATAAAACATTTTAAAATAACATCATAGCAAGTGTTCGAAGTTATTTCCCATATCTTCTATCAATTGGGTTCCCTCAATCCACGATCTCCAACTAGCGCAGCCTAAACCAGGGTGTTGGTGGATAGTTTGTGCAGCAGCATGTATCTGATTTTGCCATATTTGCTCAGTATTAGCTTACGTGGTGAACACAATGCTTTTTAAACTCACGGTCTATCAAGATCTCGACCTATGCATCCTCCAGGAAACACATGATCTAGATGTCACCGATTATATTGGATATCTAGGAAACTAAAAAACTTTTATTACAATTTTTTTCATCTATTAGTCATTATTTGTCATGAGGAATAAATCCTGAAGTTTATGCGTATAAGTTGAGAATCACCCTGTATTTAATATGCAATACGTATGTGCAGAAAGATTGAAAACTCTTCGGAACTACAGAAATCTTAAACCTAAACAGATTTATTGTGACTTACGCCCTTCAAAGGTTTAGGGCAAATCTGGATCCTTGATGAAACTTAGTATTGCTTGAACCTGAGGGTGACCTTAAGTCCGCCTTGCTGAGGCATAAAACTTCTTTGGTAATTTCTTGTTGTAGTATTTATTAATAAGTTTTCAGTTTGTTTCATTTTTTCGGAAAAATGGTTAATATCTTTATATTTTTATGCACTTCTTGGGCAAAGACCTTGTTTGTTGTCCTATTAGTGCTGGGTGTTGCATTTGTAATCTTTCTGCGCATACATTTAATATGTAATATGTATGCGCAGAAAGATTCAGAACTGTTCGGAACTACAGAAATCTTGGACCAAAACAAGCCTATTGTATCTTACGCCATTCATAATGAACCTTAGTATTGCTCTAAGGTCTTGTTCCTTTATGTCAGTAAACATTTTGTGTCTTAGGCAACGCAGTCAAACAGGCAATGTTCAACAGTCTTTGATTAGTCGTTGCAATGTCGAGAAGTTCATCCTCTACTTGTCCAATGTTGAAGAGATGGTAATTTGAGAGATGGAACGTGTGATCTCCCAGGAAACCTGAGAGCGACCTTAAGTCGCTTTTGCTGAGGCATACAACTTTGGTTTTTTTTGCGTCGCAGTTATCATATTCAGTTCAAAGTTAGTCGGTTTAAACTAAGAGCTATATTTGATCTTTTCGTCGAGTTATAATATTAAATTATATCTAGCTTTTCATTGACTGTTTTCTTTCTGTCTTCCAATTGCATCTATGACAACAGCTTCTTCGGTATGAAGGACATCATGCCAATATGTTCTTGATAATTTAGTTATAGCTGTCATAGTCGATATTCTTTACATGATTTACCACTTGTATACCAGTTATCGATTGTTGTTCTTTTCCGAACTGGTCTTTAAATTGGGTCACCACGTAAGATTCCGTTTTTTGTAGATAATAACTTCTAAAATCTGCTGCAATAATTATTATTTATCAATGAAAGTATATCACGCAAGACACTTAGTTTGTCACCTCTTACTCTCTTTTCTTGTGTTCGTATAATCAAAACATAGACTTCTGAGAGGAAATAAATATTGCACTGCACATGGTATCTCTGAACATAGCATAGAAACACCAACGTGATTTGTAGCAGTAAGTAGAAATACAGAGAATTTTAGATGTAAAGTACATAGAACACCAGCTGTGTGTACTATACCTTGAACAGTCTTAGTCCTCGCGTCGTCTTCATTTGCAAAATCCACTTTTATTTAATAAACATTTCCAAATCACTTCTTCGGATGATCACTTTACGTGTTCAACTTCATAAATTGTCTTGCTCATTCGATAGGTTATAAGATAATAAGCATCTTGATTGAACTTATCAGCATCTTCTTCAGAGCCATAGAATGCATCTAAATTTTTTATCACTTTGTTGTCATTATCCCAGAGTTTCTTTACGTCCTCTTCCAACACCACACATTTTTTAGCTACATCGTTGAACAGGATTTCTAAATCTACATCCACCAGTTAAAGCAGTGTATAACCACAAGCAAACTTCATTTGCTACAATATTGTGTAAAGTTCGTCGTTGCCAAGTCAAAATGGCATACACGACAAAATGGTAACTTTTTACTTGGCTAATATAATCTGCATCCAACAGTTAAAGTGACAGAACCGTATACAAACTTCAATCGTTGCAATGTTGGTTGAAAATTTGCTCAAATGCCTATTTTAATGCGACGTGATGAAAGTTTTTTTGTATTTCCTGGAAATCAATATATGGCATAAACGCCAAAATGGTCACTTGTTGCTTAGCTACACAGTTGAACAGGATTTTTAAATCTGCATCTAACAGTTAAAGTGACAGAACCGCTAACAAATTTCAATCGTTATAATATTGGTTTAAAGTTTTCGCAAATGCCTATTTCAATATGATGAAAGTTTTTTGTATTTGCTGGGAAATCAAGTATATATCCTTTATGCCGTTTTGAGTTGGCAGCGGTTATATGGTGATTATGTCCGCATTTACTCTTTAAAATTGGTATATTTTAGAAGAATGGTACTTCCAAAATGGAATTTTGCTAAAAAATGAGGTTGTGTTTTTGATTTTTTGGTTATCTTCCCATCATCATGCACTCGAAAAGCTTAATATTTTGTAGAATCTAAAGATAAACCTCCTTTATAATCGCAAAAAGTGGCATTTCTTAACTATACGTTGCTTTGGAACAAAATTTTGGATTTGATTCCTGTTTTCAACAAACGTGAAATCAAATTCGTGATGATAAGTTATATGAATGCAGTAACCATAGTTATGAAACTACTATGCACTTACACTGTCCCAAATAACATACAACATAGCTTAATAGTATAGGTACTGGGCAGTTTTGCAAAGGAATGTTGCTAGTTTTATATCTGGTGTTAGTTCTAGTTTTAATTCTGTCACTGTCACTAGAACTAACATTAGACCTAGAACTAGAAACATTCGGATTTAGCCGCAAGTCTCTCAAGACGGCTAAACCCGAATGATTCTAGTTCTAGGTCTTGTATTAGTGCTAATGATAGTGCTAGTATAATAATATAATAATTAGTATAATAATTAGTTCAATTACAATATGCAACATAGTGATATCTAATGTTAATTAGCGCTACCTACCACTGTCACTAGAACTAACATTAGACCTACAATTCGTTTTTTTTCTATAATACCTGTCAAATTGTTGTAAAGTTGGCAAAATTAACAGGGAGTTTTGTTTCATCATGTTTTGAAATAAATATGTCATACTGACGTTTATTTGAGCATTCCTTATTTAAAATATATATTTATTTATCTAAAAATTTATTAATATTTTAACCTTAACTATTTAGTTACTGAAAATGTTACTAGAAATCAGGGAAACAACATAAATTTTATAATGGTCCTAGCTAATACCAACAGAAACCCTAAAAATGTACTTTGACAAGTATTATAGAAAAAAAAGAACTATGGAAAGATAAAGTAAGTAAGTACGCCCTGGTTTCTATTGAAATATATTTTTGTATATTGCATTTTAAGTGAAATTCACTGTATGTATGATAATGTTATCACAGCGGAAGCTTATAATTTGGTATAACCTAAGCTCAAAAGTTTCCTTATAACCTCAAATTGTTTCATTTCTTAAATATTTAACCTCAATTTCAACAAACATCAAATTAAGTCGGAAACCATGAAATCTTGAACTATGCTTAACTTGAACCTTAAACGTTCTTTTATTACCTCAAAATGTTTGATTTTTTAATTCTAATACGTTTTGGAGAAAAAGTTATATACTAGGAGTATTTTATAGCACTCTGAGTCAAATAGTATCCATTCTTCCGGTTATTAACCCCCGTTAAGGGTTAATTTAAGTGGAATAGCAGAAAAATTAATTAAAAAATGATTTATGACCGTTAATAAATCAACCCCAAGAGAAGTTAATGACAATCTTTAAATTGCTTCTTTAAAGGTTTTTAGCTTTTTCAAGCTAAACATAAAATAGTATATTAAAAAACTAGTTCGTAAAACACGCTTGAAATGCACGAATTCAAGTTTGAAAACGAGTTTTTTGATGAGACGTGTTTTTTATGCTATTTTTTGTAATTCGCGTTTTTATCCCTTTTTCTTTAACAAAAATAAAATAAATTTTGACAATGTAGGGAAATAGGTATGTAGCAGTTGGTAACACCGGACAAAAATATGTTTACGCTTGTCATTTAAAAATTTGACACTTCGTAATATGTCAAACAGAAATATTTTTGACGAAAATGCACCATGGAAATAAAAAACATTCTCTTAAGGTTGGTAATGAAGTAATACTTGATGAATCGATTGTGAATAATATCCCTAATTGCGCAATTATAGTTTTTACAAAATAAAAAGTCGTTGCAAATCTAACACCTACTTTAGCCTTTATTTACATTAAGTTTATGTTAATTCCGGCCCTGATCGCGATATCATGACGCTTCTTTGTACAGCAACGATTTAAAACGTTAGTCTACCGTTAGTTATGTAGAATATAAACGTCGTTGAAACATCGCCAATCGAAAATTGTGTGTTTGCAATCGAAAACCGTTTATCGGTTTACGTTATCGAAGTATCTGATATGGTTAAGCAAATATGGCGCATGACTGATTCGGGGCTTTTATTTTGTGATATCGCCAACTTTGTAATAGCAGCACATTTTTTTTTGTAACAACCCACAACATGGATAGTTATTTCCGTTCTGAGTATGTGTAAACTGTTTTTTTATCACTCAAAACGTGTACTTTTATTTGTTTTTTAGATCTACGTCTAAAGTCATCATTTCGAATTTAGCACCAATGGTTCGGTTCGAAGATATCCAACACCTGCTTCAACCCCATGGGAAGGTAATCTCTTGTGATAAACTTACCTCCAAAGATCCCAACACGCAAACGGTGCAGATTACCTTTGAAACAGCAGATCAGGCACAATTGTATGTAACAAGAAATTTAATTAAAAAATATATTGAATTTATTTATTTTTTTGTAGGGTGGTGAATCACATAAATGGATACGAATTGGAAGGAAGATCAATGAAAGTAGAACTCGCTGTTGAAAAGAAAGCAAGAAGAGCTCCACGAGGTCCGGGAGCACCATTTGGAGGACTGCCAGGACAAAGTCGTCAAACTGACTTCCCACTTCGAATATTAGTGCAAAGCGACATGGTATGTATAAATAAATAAATAAATAAACATGGTTTCGATGTTTTTGTAAAAATGTTAGGTTGGTGCCATAATTGGTAGGCAAGGTTCCACGATTAGACAAATAACTCAACAAACTCGTGCTCGCGTCGACGTTCACCGGAAGGATAATGTCGGCTCACTGGAGAAAGCCATCACCATCTACGGTAACCCCGAAAATTGCACGAACGCGTGTCGGCGTATTCTGGAGGTGATGCAGCAGGAGGCCAATAACACGAACAAAGGCGAAATCTCGCTCAAAATCCTTGCACACAACAATCTTATTGGACGAATCATCGGAAAAGGCGGTAACACCATCAAACGAATCATGCAGGAGACGGAAACTAAAATCACCGTTTCCAGTATTAATGATATTAATTCGTTCAATTTGGAACGTATTATAACCGTTAAGGGTAGCATAGAAAATATGAGCAAAGCGGAAGCTCAAATTAGCGCGAAATTGAGGCAAAGTTACGAAAATGATCTTCAAGCAATGGCTCCACAATCGATGATGTTCCCCGGATTACATCCGATGGCGATGATGGCAACAGCAGGTAATAAAAAGTTTAAAATAAAAACGAAAATAAAAATCGTTAAAGATTATTCTTAAATTATCTACTATTTTTTGGTGGTTAATTTAAGATTTTTTTAATTAAAAGAAAAAGCTATTATTTCTGACAGAAGTATTGGCACGACTCTATCGGTACTTTTGTCAGGTATAGGCTATGGTTCAAGGGGTTTGTACACAGGCCAAGCACCATACCCGGGAATGTATCCTGCTGGAGGGGCGCAAGCCGGCGGAGGGGACAGCCAGGAGACGACGTACCTATATATACCGAATAACGCCGTGGGGGCCATCATCGGTACGAAGGGTTCGCACATTAGGAACATCATACGCTTCTCAGGTGCCACAGTCAAAATCGCTCCCCTCGACGAGACCAAACCGCAGGATACACAAACCGAGCGGCGAGTCACCATCGTTGGATCGCCCGAAGCTCAATGGAAGGTAAAAAATCGATATTTCAACCAGTTCGAATAGACGTAAATAAGATTCGCTTTCAATTGTAGGCTCAGTATTTAATTTTCGAAAAAATGCGAGAAGAAGGTTTCGTAGCTGGAGCTGATGATGTTAGATTAACAGTTGAGATTATGGTGCCTAGCTCGCAAGTTGGAAGAATAATCGGAAAAGGTGGTCAAAATGTTCGCGAACTACAACGAGTTACCGGTAGCGTTATTAAACTGCCAGAACAAGGTGCTAGCCAACAAGAAGATGAAACAACTGTACATATCATCGGACCCTTCTTCAGTGTTCAGGTATTAATACGTTTAGTTTAATTTATATCGCACTTCATTGATGAATTTAGTATTATGGTATCTTTGATGTAACTTCTATATTGAATGCTTTTGGAATGTTAACAACCAAGTATTTATCACATAACTGTTTCTAAATGATTGATTTAATTGTATGTTCATGAATATTGTATGCATATGCAAATGAGTGATATCTCAAAGTTGTTTAATGATGATGGTTTGCATAAATACTGTGTGTGTTGCCTTTGATGATTGAGAAATCGATAATCTAGTAATCAAAGATAATTTGTCTATATCTTGATTTTGCCACCATGATTGGGGAGAATGTGAGGTTGGAAATTTATATCATTGGTGACCTCATTGGTATTATATGTAATACCATCTCAATGATATTTCAAAAAATTGATGTTTCATTAACATTCATTTACAACCTTAAACAGTTTTAGTTTTTAATCCCTAACTGCTATGGAGAAAATAATTTTTATAGTTAACCTGATTTCCCACAAATTCCATATTAATTGAATAACTTAAAAAATGCCTATAAAGTTAACTGATCACTAAACTCAAACGTTCGTGTACAACATGAAAAAGTTTCATTTCTTAATTTCTAGCAGTTATGGAGAAAATAATTTTTTTCGTTAACCTGCTTTTCAATAAACGTCAAATTTTAAGAATAGCTATAAAATTAACTGATCACCGTGGAAGCTTGTAATATGGTAGAACTTAACGTTAAACGTTCCTTTACAACGTGAAAAAGTTTCATTTCTTCATTCCTAGTCGTTATGGAAAAAGAATTTTTTTCATTAACCTCGTTTTCAATAAACGTCAAATTTGACGGGTGATTTTTAAACATTTCTATAAAATTAACTAATCATTGTGGAAGCTTGTAATTTGGTAGAACCTAACTTCAAACGTTCCTTTACAACCTGAAAAAGTTTCATTTCTTAATTCCTAGCCGTTATGGAGAAAAAAATTTTTTTCATTAACCTCGTATTCAATAAACGTCAAATTTAACGGGTGATTTTTAAAAATTGCTATAAAATCAACTGATCCCCGTGGAAGCTTGCAATATAGCAGAACCTTACTTTAAGTGTTCCTTTACAACCTGAAAAAGTTTCATTTCTTAATTCCTAGTCGTTATGGAGAAAAGAATTTTTTTATTAACCTCGTTTTCAATAAACGCCAAATTTAACGGATTGTTTTTAAACATTTCTGTAAAATTAACTGATAACCGTGGAAGCTTATAATGTGGTTAGAAGTTAACTTCAAACGTTCCTTTACAACCTGAAAAAGTTTCATTTCTTAATTCCTAGCCGTTATGGAGAAAAGAATTTTTTTTATTAACCTCGTTTTCAATATACGTCAAATTCAACGGGTGAGTTTTAAAAATTGCTGTAAAATCAACTGATCACCGTGGAACCTTGTAATGTGGTAGAAACTAACCTCAAGCGTTCCTTTATAAGCTGAAAAAGTTTCATTTCTTAATTCCTAGCCGTTATGGAGAAAAATTTTTTTTCATTAACCTCGATTTCAATAAACGTCAAATTCAACGGGTGATTTTTAAAAATTGCTATAAAATCAATTGATCCCCGTCTAAGCTTGTAATATAGCAGAACCTTAGTTTAAGTGTTCCTTTACAACCTGAAAAAGTTTCATTTCTTAATTCCTAGTCGTTATGGAGAAAAGAATTTTTTTATTAACCTCATTTTCAATAAACGTCAAATTTAACGGGTTGTTTTTAAGCATTTCTGTAAAATTAACTGATAACCGTGGAAGCTTATAATGTAGTTAGAAGTTAACTTCAAACGTTCCTTTACAACCTGAAAAAGTTTCATTTCTTAATTCCTAACCGTTATGGAGAAAAAATTTTTTTTTCATTAACCTCGTTTTCAATAAATGTCAAATTTAACGGGTGATTTTTAAAAATTGCTATAAAATCAACTAATCACCGTGGAACCTTGTAATGTGGTAGAAACTAACCTCAAACGTTCCTTTGCAAGCTGAAAAAGTTTAATTTTTTAATTCCTAGCCATTATAGAGAAAAGAATTTTTTTCATTAACCTCATTTTCAAAAAACGTCAAATTTGACGGGTAATTTTTAAAAATTTCTATAAAATTAACTAATCACTGTGGAAGCTTGTAATGTGGTAGAACTTAACTTCAAATGTTCCTTTACAACCTGAAAAAGTTTCATTTCTTAATTCCTAGGCGTTATGGAGAAAAGAATTTTTTCGTTAACCTCGGTTTCAATAAACGTCATATTTGATGAGTGATTTTAAAAAATGTCTATAAAATTAATCAAGTACTGTGGAAGCTTGTAATGTGGTAGAACCTTACCTTACACGTTCCTTTACAAGCTGAAAAAGTTTCATTGCTTAATTCCTAGCCGTTATGGAGAAAAAAATTTTTTTCATTAACCTCGTTTTCAACAAACGTCAAATATGACGGGTGATTTTTAAAAATGTCTATAAAATTAACTAATCACTGTGGAAGCTTGTAATGTGGTAGAACCTAACTTTAAGCGTTGCTTTACAACATGAAAAAGTTTCATTTCTTAATTCCTAGGCGTTATGGAGAAAAGAATTTTTTCGTTAACCTCATTTTCAATAAACGTCATATTTGATGAGTGATTTAAAAAAATGTCTATAAAATTAATCAAGTACTGTGAAAGCTTGTAATGTGGTAGAACCTTACCTTACAGGTTCCTTTACAAGCTGAAAAAGTTTCATTTCTTAATTTCTAGCCATTATGGAGAAAAGAATTTTTTTCATTAACCTCGTTTTCAAAAAACGTCAAATTTGACGGGTGATTTTTAAAAATTTCTATAAAATTAACTAATCACTGTGGAAGCTTGTAATGTGGTAGAACCTAACTTAAAGCGTTGCTTTACAACATGAAAAAGTTTCATTTCTTAATTCCTAGCCGTTTTGGAAAAATTTGGAAAAAAATTTTTTCGTTTTCGATAAACGTCAAATTTGACGGGTGACGGATTCCGAGCCGATAATGAAGAAAACTTTTTTTTTCATTAACCTCACTTTTAATAAACGTCATATAAAGTAGGGGGTTTTAAATAATTTTTCATTTTAATAATTATTATTTTATTATAAATAAATAATTTTTTTTTATGATTGTAGAGTGCGCAAAGACGTATTCGTGCTATGGTACTACAATCGGTTGTGCCACCACAAGGAAGACCAAGGTCGCAGCGTGCACCAAAAGAGTCCGGACAACAATCGGACATGCCGTTGGAACAACAACATCAGCAACAACAACAACAACAGCAACAGCAACCGTAAGAAAGTATCGCGAGCGATCAAAATATAAGTCCCACTGCCCAACCAAAAAAAACGAGAAGCACGGGTTTATGTGTACCCTATTATTATAAAAAACAACCACTATTGCTATTAGTATCAACATTGTAAATAACATCTCGAGGCCTTCCACTACGCCGCAATAGGTACTGAATCCTTTGATGAGTAAGGAGCGCGAGTAAAAGAGACCGAGAGAAAAAAGAACAAATTTTTCGGGTCTTTCCCCGCGTGTCGTGCCCAGCGAATTATTAAAAAAAAAACATGGAGTGGCATGCGAGATGATTTATTATTATTTTTTTTATTCGTTAGTGTTGTTACGGTTTATGATTTTCGTTCTTTTACCGTTTCTGTCTTTTTTTCTATTATTAATATTATTATCGCTGTTTCTTTTTATTGATGGTTGAAGATGATTTTTTTTCATTGAGTACGGGATTCGTTACGCTATATAAGACATTTTTTACGCTCGAGTGTTCCCGCCTCCCCTGGAAATAATATGGTATACTATAAACTGCGTGCCCCCATATACAACTACTAAATATGATTACAATCTACCTCAAGAAATCAAAATATACTAGACGATTCTTATTAGCCAATAGTAAATTTCCGTTACTGAACCACAATAGCCTAAATACATTAATACATACTACATAAATACATTTTTATATTTATATACACATAAACGCAAGAGAGAAAGAGAGCTACGCAGAACATATAATATACAAAAAAAACTACAATTATGTATTCGTATTACGATAAATATATATTACATACAAGCGCACAGTTTAAAAATGAACAAAGTTATTTTTTTATAATTATCGTAATTGTATAACAGTTTTACCAAAGATACGCTGGAGATCTTATTTTTTTTGTATTATTACTATTTGCTGAGTCATGTTAGCTATCTATGTATATACACACACACGTAACTTGCATCTTAGCTGCAAAAACTTATAGCATAAGCCGAATTTGGGACTTTTAAAAACTTAAACAAAAACATAAAAAAAAATCGATTAATTACAACTAATTTACACAAAAAAAGGAAGGTTACACAACTTTCGTTTCCGACAAAGAAAAAAGAACCGATCGTGGCGACATTTTTCATCTTTTCAATTTTCCAGTTGGAGTGAAAGTGTCTCGAGTATTAAAACATTTTAATCGACGATTTATAGGGAAGAAACAGGAAGTGTGGCGAAAAACTTAGGTGTAGATATATTGTACGGACAGCCGAGATTGAAAAAATGTGCGGGTGAATGACATTTTTTTAACTATTATAATTATATTGTTAGGAGATTGTTAAAAAAATTGTTTCGAGTATTTACTAATTGTAGTAAATGTTTTTGCGCGTACACTGCCCTTAGAATTATATTATTACGACGTCGAAACAATTTCTAATGGGGGTATCTAATACAAAATTACCTTTTTTTTTTTGAATTAATAATAAATTAGACTTGGATAAAAATGATAGATACACCCTTTCGGATTAGCCCCCTTTTATAGCTTTTTTAGTTTATCTTTTCCCGTCCTAATTAGGTTCGTTTAAAAGTTTTAACGATTAATGTACGAGTTTTTGGGGGATAATCGGTTAAGAGATTGTTGAAGCGTTGTTTCGGTGCGTGTGGCGGTGTACTAGCAAATTTGTGTGATACCAAAATCGGACGAGGCTCGAAAGAAGCCTTTCCAAAAAGCGGCTCCGGTACCTTGTGTCAAGGTCGGCCGCAAGTTAAAAGTACAAAGTGAATATGATTATCGGGAGGTATAAATGATGGGCCAGGTTGGCCGCTGATGAAATTATTTTTGATAAAAATTGTTTGTTGGGGAGGATTTTTTTTGTTAGATTTAAAAACCTAAAAAAAAACTATGAGAAAGCGGCCGCGCGTCGCTTTTTGATATGTGAAAAAAATGGATATATTATTATTATATAATATAATTAATATTTATTGTAATGTATAAAAGAGGAATTAAATTATTTGTACAGATTTATAAGAAAAAAATGAGAAAAATTTTAAAAATCTAAAGTGTGCCAAAGCGCAAGATGGTTACCAACCTTAGGACTTAAGTGATTTTTGAGGGTACATGAATTTATTTTTTTTTGGCTACGATGGTGTAAGCACTGAAGAACAGACAGGATTCCCCCTTAAAAGATGGGATTACACGATCATCAAAGTCGTTCCAAAATCGGAGCGTGTCCACATTCAAAATAATAATAAATAAAATGATTCTAAAAATCGAATCAAAAACTTAACGTACAAACGACTTTAACGAATACAGTACAAAATACGGGGACTAGTTAGAGTTTGAGGTTTGTCAAATGTAATCCATTTGTTTCACACTGCCACTTACAATAACATCGAGTGACATTAAAATTAACAAAATCTAACACTTTTTTGTCAGTTAAATAATTTCCACACAGCCCCCCTCCAAAACAAAAAAAAAAACAAAAAAAGCATGGCAAGATTCCATCCAATTCGATCATCCTCCAAATTATTGCAAAGAATAAAAAAAAAACGTTTTAACGAGAAGAAAAATCTGTATAGGTTGTAAGGAAAACACCTCCCCTCCCCCTAGCATATGAACATTTCGTATAAAAAAAAAATTAAATTTGAGCAATCCCACAAAGCATTGCCCACAAAAAAAGAAATACAATCGTATTCCGAACGAGCATTTAAATAAATCTTAAAAAAAAAATAAATAAATCGGTCTCGATATAAATACATTTTCAAAAAAACACGTTGTGTACTACGGAGTCGCGTAACGTGTTTGGGTTAAAAATGAAATCTTTAGAAACGAACGTTACTCTCTACGCGATTAAGAGAGAATGCCGCTTCAAAATAAAATAAAAAAAAACTACCTTGAATAGCTTGAAACTATTGTATGACGAGTTAAATTAAAATAAAAAATGCTGTTAGCCTGTTATAGATGTTTTTCGAAAAAAAAAAAAAATAATAAGAATAATACAAGGTACTTACATTAGTTATCCGCTTCCAATACAATTTTAATAAAAGCGAAACGAGAAAATCAAAAGCATCTCAAAAAAAAGGTTAAGGAAAAACAAGCTGTTAACTTCTAACAATAATATGTCATTTTTTAAAAATGGGAAAATGTATATAATTAAATACTGTTAAAAAAGTTAAAAAAAAACAGGTATTTTTTACCTTGTAAGTTCAATAAGTTCCTTCTATCTATTGGTATTTTTTTATGAAGTAAATAATTCATAATGTATGATTCAATCCCGAAAAATAGAATAGATAGAAATACAATTTTCAAGTTACACTTTTTTTTTACATAACTTTATATTTTTTATTAATACATATTTACTTTTATCGGATTAGTTACTACTGTATTAAAATAAAGTTGTATGTTCAATATAAAAAAAGCTCGAGAGTTTTATTAAGTTGGTTTTTATTACACATTTATAATTATGTTTAATTATAATATTGAGATTTCAAAATAATTAATAAATACAGTGGTGGACAAAAGTTTACATACAGTATTGAATTAATTGTACAACGTAATAATAAGATAAGAAAAAATTAATATTATAGTGTGATTAGAGATACTTATGTACAAGAAACAACAAAACAAATCGCTTAACAGCTATAAAAATTCAACTAATATACGGTAGTTTATTTCGTTGGCCCTCCATGAGCTTTTATAACAACACGCATGCGTCGTAGCATTGAAGCAACTAATTGTTCTGCTGTTATTTCAGCTCAAGATTCCATTAACGCATATTTTAGTGTTCTTGCGTTCCAAAAGCTCCCAAGCATGCTCGATTGGATTTAAATCCAGACTCTAAGGAGGTGTATTCAACTGCCTGGGTGCATAATATAGTAGATCCAACGATCCTCGAGGAACAAGCTTACTTTTATATTTTATCGATCCATAATTTCATCAATTAATGCCAGTTTTCCTCCACCAGATGCTGCCATCGCCACCCAAACCATGACACTAACTCCGCCGTGCTTAACAGTTGGTACCAAATTTTTCAACTCCATCGCCGTGCTTCGTTTCTTCCAAATTTCAACCCGAAAATCATTTCCAAAAAGGTTGTACTTCAACTCGTCAGTAAATTAAACCTTGGACCAGAAATCTATTCCTTTGTCGACATGAAATTGAGCAAATTCTAAAAAATCAGCTATCATCTGAAATCAGCGGTTTTCTTCGGGCTCCATGAGCTTCTATAACAACACGTAGACGTCGTGGCATTGAAGCAACTAAGTTTGTTGTCTTTTCTGATATTATTTCAGCTCGAGATTTAACTAACGCAGATTTCAATGTTTTTGCATCTATGATTTAATCCAGACTCTAAGGAGGTGTATTCAACTGCCTGGATGCGCATAATATAGCAATCAATGTTTGATTAGGTTGCGATATGCTTGCGGTTATTGTCTTGATGGATTATCCAACGAACCTCAAGGGCCAAACTTACTTTTATATTTTATCGATCCATAATTTTGTCAATGAATATTTTCCTACACCAGAGGCTTCTTCGCCACCCAAACCATGACACTACTTCCGCCGTGCTTTACAGGGTACGAAATTTTTCAACTCAAATTTTTATAGACCATCACATCCAAAAAGGTTGTGCTTCAACTCGTTAGTAAAGAACATCCTGGACCAGAAATCTCTTTCCTTGTCGACATGAGATTGAGCAAGTTCTAAAAAAATCTGCAGTTTTCTTAGTAGAACTCTTTGTATGGTTCTTGGATGTTCTTAGATACAGTCGCGATGTTTTTGCTCACTTCTTGTAATATGGAGCTAATATCTCTTCTAGAAAGTTTCTTTGGCCGGCCTGTACGAACTTTCTTAGCGAATGAGTCAGTCTCATTGTAATTTTTGACGATGGTCTGGATTGTTGCTCAGCTTAGATTTTTCGCCATAAAATTCTTCGATGTTTTATCACCAATTTTCTAAATTCAACAGAAATTTCTTTTCACGACGAAATTTTGCAACCAGTTAGAATTAAGATAAAAGAAAATGCAATTCCGGCTATTAAGTAAGTAGCTCTAATCACACTGTAACACTAATTTTCTATTATCTTGTAATGTTTTATAAAAACCTTATAATTCAATGCTGTGTATAACTTTTGTTCGTCACTGTAATAAATAATAACAGTTTAATCAAAGATTTTTTTGTTATAAACTTTTTGATACAAAAAATCGTTTAAGATAAATAAATTAAAATCATTATTACTTTACAATACTTTGACATTGAACTGTCATTTGAAAATGATTTAATGATGTGTCAATATAACCAACTTAAATTTTCAATAAAAATGTAATCATACCAATCTAAGTTTTTTTTTAAATTGAACATATAAAAAGAAAATTAAGAGTGATCGTTTAAAAATGAATGAAAATTTTTATGTGTTTCAATATTTTAATTATTATTATTGTGAAAAAAGTTTTTAAACGAGCACTTTCAAAAAAAAAACTTGTCAGATTATGTAAACGATGTCGCAAAAATCAATAGTTATTTAGTATGAGTGTTCTTGGTTTTTGAGTGTTTTTTTTATATAATATATTTATATGGTTCGGCAAGGAACTATATTCTCTACAAACGGCCGTTTTAACAGAATCCCATTTTGCAAGTGAAAAGATTAATAAGGAAGTATACAATTTGTGCCGATGTATAGGATATAGAGATTTCATAGTTTAAATTACATGTTAAAAGTTTCAAAAAAGAGACTGACGTGCAAGAAGCCAACCGTTGTAGCATCTAAACAGCTTAGGTGGATAACAGGATACCATTCCAATCATTTTTTGTGTCTATTATTAACTATATTTTTTGTTTTACTTTTTTTCTACGACATTAATCGCTATATTATTAGTTAACTATATAAGGTTATAGATATGTTATCCAACCTAAGGTTAAACTACCTCAAATAAGTAATATATTATTCTATTAATAAAAAAAAACTATGTTGTTCAAGTTTTACTTTTTTTGGGTATTTCTTATTAAACTAAATAAGTTAAGTTTCTTCTATTTTTTTTTCATCTGGAGAATACTATTTGTAATAAAAAAAAATCCATAACTGTCAAAGCTAAGAAAACCCTATGTAATAGTAAATAGTGTCGAAATTGTGTCCGTGTGTGCCATTCTATTATGTATGTCGATGGTTAAAAAAATTTACCCCCAAAAAACGTATTAGGTACTGATAATCAGATACACATCAAATAAATCAACTTGATTATCAATGCCTAGTATTTCAATAAAAAAATCTAAGCATAAAAATAGGTCACTCATTAAACTATATTATACATTTACCTTCATTGTATATTATAATAACAATATATTTATCAATAGATGCACATTATATACATATACATACATATATTTATAAAGAAATACGAAACCGAAAAAAAATGTTTTCTCTCAGGAAGTAAAGCTCAGGATTCAATGAATTTCAATGAACCATTCGTATAAGAATATATTGGTTGATTGCAGATTGACTTTTTCAACGTATTTTTTTTAAACTTTTTTTCTTATCTGATTGATTGTTTTAAATCTGCCTTAATAAATAACACATGAATTAAATGAAAATAAATGATCTGTCACGGTAAAAAAGAAAATACAAAAAAAATACGTTGCTAAGCGAAATTTCGCTTAATTACGAACGATGTCTCTGTAGTTAAAAAAAAAGATTAATAATAATCGGTGTTATTACCTTTAAGAAATGTGCAGAACATGGTTTTTTTAATAATCTTTTAATCAATACAAATGTTTTGCATCATGGCATCTTGAGAGCGAGCTATTTCCATTTTTTCTTTTTGTTCCACTACATGATTGGTACACTTAATAATAAAAAAATTAAAAAAAAAAACAATCACAAATTGTTTGATACTTATTGTGCATATTATTTCATATTTTTTCTTTTTGAATAAATAGTGTTCCCTTAAAAATAATTTAAAAATTTTTGTTTTTTTATCTTTCATTTTTTTTTTAACCTTTTAACACAATAAATTGTATAAAATTGTTCTTTTTTCTTCTAATAATAATAATTATTTATTGCCGCAATGACATATTACTAAGTTACATCAAAAACACTTAACATAGTAACATGTTATCTTGAACATTTATATTAAAGTCATTCAAATCAGTTTCTATTTTTTCCAAAAGTATTTCTAGTTTTTGGAAAAATGTTTGTAAATCACCATTTGGGGATCTCTACGACAGGATGCTCGTCTTTTTATACCTAACAATTTACTTGGTCGAGTGTCCTTTTTATTTTTAAATCGTACGTGTTTAAGAAGAAGAGTATTATAAGCGTCCACACGAGAGCCCCATTTTTCAATTGTCACTAATTCGCCAAGATACTCTATATTTGAAGATAATTGGACCATTTTGCATTTCGACATTGTTATTTGTATTATTTACAGCACGGAGACCTCCTCCTCCATAACTACTTCTTTATTTTTAATTTTTTCATTTTGCGTACAATTCGAGTATAGCTCACCTCATTCATTCACTTTTATTCTAACACAATGGACGATCTTGTCGAACAAACCATCGATAGATATTTTGATGTATTCGATTACATCGTATTCGGTGTTATGCTCATTGTATCGGCTTTAATCGGTGTTTATTTTGCTTTTTTTGCTAAAGTTAAACAAGATACTACTTCAGAATACTTAATGGGGGGAAAAACTATGGGAATTTTTCCAATTTCTATGAGTCTAATAGCCAGGTAAGTTTAATTTCAAAATCACTATTATTATCCTAATATGTACTTCAAATTAAATTTTAAACTATCCATACATTCATTTCAAAAATTGACACTTAAACGTCAAACTGACACTGCAACGTCACATCTGACATTTAATTTGACAGTTCATATTAACCTCTTAATAATCATCACTGCGATTAAATGAATATTGTAAAAACTTGTCATTTTGTGATCTTATTCCTTTACGAATTTTGAATTGGTGACTAATTTTTAAATCAACGTTTTGAAAATTCAGTCTTAAACATCAAATCTGACATTTAATCTTGACAATTGACATTAATCTCTTAATAATGGTTGTGGTGAAGGTCTTTAGACACATTTAATAAAGAAAAATGCTAGGAATTTTCTTTTTTTTTAAATTTTAACATTTTAGAATGAAATACGAAGCTGTTTGATTTAGTAAAAATTGCATAGAGTTAAAAAAAAGCTTTGCAGGGGGCGCAAGGTGTTGAGTACACACTATTATATTCCCATCACACTCAAGGAGGACAATAATAAGCAAATACAGTAAACCCTCGATGTAGTAAACACGCAAGGGGATTGTAAGCCGTTCGTTATAATGAGGTGATCGAAATTTCGATATAACGAATTAATTGGTTATAATTAATAACAATATTAAACAATATATATAAATATATACCTACATAAATAGTGGTAATTACGCTGAAAAATTATCATATGCATTAATAACAGGTATTTTTTTATAAAGGTATAGAATTTTAAGTTGGCAACACTTTTTTAACTGGCGGCCATTTTCTCAGCTGTCAAGTGATTTATGTTTAGTTTTGTTTGGCATTTCAACATGAATAGACTGACGCTCTGACGTCTCAACAACGCTTCCAAATTGTGCACATTTATTTAGAAAATCATAGTTCTGTTCGAAATATCTGTTCATCAGAGCAATTAATTCCCCATTAACTATGGAACGTTTTCGCACCACGTTTACTCTAAATGATAACACGCATCCACAGAGACGTCGTACAGTGCCTACAGAAGAAATCATTGCTGCTGTAGAGTGTAACGTAGAGGAAGACTCGAACCAATCAATTGGATATGTGTCCATCCACTTTATGGAAGATTTTGCGGAAAGATCTTGGTTTGCGTGCTTACAAAATCCAACTCGTGCAAGAATTGAAGTCACACGATCACCTAGCAAGGCGTAGATTCGATGAATGGGCCCAAAACAAGATTGCCGTTGATCCCGATTTTCATAAGCGAATTTTGTTTAGCGATGAAGCTCCCTTTTTTTGTTTGAATGGATACGTCAATAAACAAAACTGCCGCATTTGGAGTGATGGTAATCCTCAAGTGTATGTTGAGGCACCGTTACATCTAGAAAAACTGACTGTTTAGTGTGCTTTATCGGCTGGTGGAATCATTGGTTCGTACTTCTTTAAAAACGATGCTGGTCAGAACGTTACAGTCAATAGGGACCACTATAGAGCCATGATTACTGACTTTTTCGTTCATCAATTGAACAACCATAATGTGCAGGAGCTGCGCTTTCAACAAAAATTCATCTTTGTTTTATCCATTTCAAAGTTTTATACTTCTACTATAAAAAACACGCTTTATAAGTGAAGAGAAATTCAGGGCAATTAAAAAAAATGGGAATATAAGATCCTGGACTTGCAATTCATGTGAAATAAACCTAACCCCAAAAACTTTCTTGATTCTCTTCAAATTTTCGATAGAATAAGCAAATTAATGAAACATGACAGAAAAGATAATCCAGTCATTTAAGAGTAGATATCACAATTGAAATACGATAATAAAATTTTAATCAATGAGTTGAACATGATAAAACAGGAAATAATACAGAAAACTTCTCCAAAATTTATTGAGAATCCAACAGAGGTGGTACCTTCAAAAATAATATCGAATAATGAAACAAACTTGAATGCACCACCACGTGCCATAAAAAGCAAACACCTGTTTCGTTTGAACAAATGAACCCAAAACAGAGCATTGACCTCGAAAAACCAGAAGTAGTCGAAAATGAAACGAATAACAAAAATATTAAGGAAAAATACTCAGTTATAGCGGAAACAAGGGAATCTGCATATGAAAAATTTGAAATAAATCCAACTCAAAAATATACAGATTTTGTCACAGTAACTAGTAAACAGACACACAATTAAAAGGAATTATACACACTGAGAGAAATAGATGTACGAATCGTATTATAGAAAAAATATTATACATGCAGCAATTCATTGTATTATATTCATTATATTTATTGTACTGAATACAATCTCGTCTCGCTGTCACTATTCGTAGTAAACGTATTATACCTTATAGTATATTTTTAGTGCATAGTACAATCCATTTCTCTCAGTGCAGTATGCTTATTTGCACGTCTGTGGTTTACAACTATGTACATTTCTACCCACATAGTACAATCTACCCACAGGGCTCTGTTCTTGGACCCCTACTTTTTCTGCTATATATAAATGACTCACATGAATCACATGCTGATTCAATGTGTCTCTATGCAGACGACACATCCTTTATTAATTCTTCTACAGACCTAAGCAGCTACAACAAAGAACTAATGAAACGTTAGAGCAAGCGAAAAAATGGTTTGACTCAAATAGTCTGCAGTTAAATAAGGAAAAAACCAAAATTCTTACGTTTTATACCAAAATATGAGAGGATGTTAAGGACGAAACCGTGAAAATCCTAGGCGTAACACTTTCTTCGATCTTAGCGTGATAAAAACATATAACACAAATAATACAAAAGTTGTCAACATCCTTGTATTGCTTCAGAGTGGTGTCAAGGGTTTTACGGATCAAAGAAACAAAAAGTGTGTATTTTGCATACTTTCACAGTATAGCAACATCTGGTATTCTTACAAGGGGTGCTTCAAACCATATTGAGGTCATCTTTAAAGCTCAAAAGAAAAGCCGAGTACTTGCAAAATTAGGTCCAAATGAGAGTTGTCGAACGATTTTCAAGGCACTAAAAATACTAACAATACCATCATGTTCCATGTTTTATTCTATCCTGTTTGAATTACATACATACAGAAAAAGAATACGTACCCAAAAATGCAGATACACATAACTATCATACACGTCATGGATGTACTACATAGACTTTCAAAGTCACATAATAACTTCCATTATCAATCAGTTAAACAGTACAATGTACTTTCACCAAAATTAAGAGCTTTGAACACTGAAAAATTAAAAAAATAATGAAGGAAAAATTGTTGCAAAATGAGATCTATGCAACAAGTGAATATTATGAAAAAATACAAAGTATTAATATAATGTAAAATTTTTTTTAATGTATTTTATAAGAGCGATTATAAGAATCTTCGGTTATAAACTTGGCTTGGAGACTTGTGGTTACGAATTTGTGTCATAAGCGAAAACCACGGATTTAACTCGTGATGAGAAATTATACATTTAGTACTTGCTTGAAGTATCTGAAGAGATTAACCACAGCAACAGACTCCATCAATCAATAATAGAATCAAGAATCGGGCAAGAAATGATGAGGTTCCTCAAAATACCTAGACAGCGTGTAAAAATCTTTTCTTATCTACTGCCAATGAAGAAAACTGGACTTCCTAGATGTACTAAAAGATACTTTTGAAATAAATATTGTACACGAAAAGAACACAATAACAGCCATCATTTTAAATTCTACAATAAGCATAATATAATGGACAAGTCAAAAAGACTTCTTCCCCCACCTCTACTTCTTATAACAATCGTTTTGTTAAACTGGAATATTGAGCAAAACGCTACTTGTACCTACAATATATTTTTTATATTTAACTTCATAACTCAAAATATTAACAATAACCGCAAACATTTTTTACTTTTTATATCTTTGATATCTCTCCTTTCGATCTTTTCGCCCAAACTTCTTCTTTTTACTCTCCTTTTTATCTTCATCCGAAGAGAAACTATCGGAACTAATCGGACTCAACCTTCGTTTATACTCAACATTTTTATTTTTCTCCAAAAGTTCCTTACGATACAAATTTACATCCTCCTCCAAATTCTTCCCTTTCCTCCGCTTTCTTTTCCCACTTTCCAATTCATCTTGATATTGCATCACCATCACCTCAATCCTACGTAAATTTCCCCGTTCCTCTTCCGTAATCTGATTCAATTGACTTTTTAATTCTTTCATTTGCCGTTCAAGTTCCATATTATAAATTTGTTTCGTTGACATGGCTTGAGCTTCAATGTCTTGAGGGTCAACACTTTCCCATTTCGATTGAACGAAATCCGATTGATTCGGTTGAGAATTTCGTTTTGCAATTGCCGTTGGAAGAATGGTCACGTCCGCGCTTATTGCTAAGTCGGTTTTAATTTCGTTTTTTAAAAGGGATCGTTTAATTAAATTTTGACCATCTAATGGTTCGTCATTTTCGGAATCATCGTTTACATCGATTTCTATCGTTTTTATAAATAATTTTTCGAGACGTCGTAAAAATTCGTTTGGATAAATTTTCCAAATATTCCAAGAATGAATTACTTTTAAAATTCTAAAACAATAAAAATAATTGAAATCTATTATACGAGTTATTAATTAAGAAAAATAGTTTTATAGATTATTAATGTACTAGTTACTAGTTTCGGCAGTAATAGGCCATCATCAGAGACAACGTTAAATGTCTGATGATATCTTAATCTATTACTGTGTGATCAGTGTGATCACATCAGGGATGTATTGAATGGGAGCACATGCTGGGTCGAACGGGAGAGGAGAGAGACTGGATGGCGATATTATATATAACATTTGACATAGTCTCTGATAATGGCCGAGTACCGAAACTAGTAACACTAAAGTAACAATAAAGACAAGTTCAAGTACATTAATAGTGTATAAACTGATTTACCTATTTTTGAAATCATCTTTATCTTTATCATATTTTAACGCATCACAGGATTTTTCTAAATTTTCAAAAATCTTTTTAAGATGTCTCCGAAATTCATTAATATAAGTCATTTTTCCACCTCCACCTTTTTTAATGTAGGAATTATATAAAACGTCGGAAATTAAATAAAGCCTAGCAATCTTTTTGAGAGGATTCGTGGCGGCATTTTCGAAAGATTCCGCGATTAAGATCGAAATATCTTTAGCCGCAATTTCGTGGTTGATACAAAAAATCATCGTTTCTCCTATTTTAATCCTCGACGAGTTCAAATTTTGAATATAATTAATCAAACGATTTCTTTGTGCTTGCGATAACGTTTTTTTGTCGTCTTTTTCATTTTTAACTAAATTATCGGGCATTCCTAAACTGTAATTAGGCGTTATTGGGGGTATCCACACACTTCCGTTTTTAAACATACGAAACTCTTTGTTTGACCATTCATAAACGCTTTCGCCGTTTAAAACTGAATAAAGTTTCCATCTATAATAAATATGATTCGGCGATTTATTGTCAAACAAAAACTGGAACATTGAATTATTAATTTCTTTATTCATAATCATCGCTTCAAATAACGGACCTTCTTTAACGACGAATTCGACCATCCGATGAATTGTGGCTAAAAACTTTTTATCTAAAGGAATTGTAACTGTTACATAAGCATCTTTTAAAACATCATCAATGTTTTCTTTATTTCTTAAAATATCTGATTTAATGTGTGCATTAAAAGGTAATCCAGTTTGAGGGGGTGGTAAAAGTAATTTTAATAATTCAGGTGGGATATATACAGGGTGTTGTGGTAACTCAACAGGTTTAGCCCAACCAACGCGCATATCATCACGATTCTTTAAACACTCCAACGCTCTCTCACCATCTTTTCTACTCATATACGCTACAAATCCAACGTTAGATCGACCACGTTCTTCATTTCTAGGCCACATTATTTTAACGCTCGCTAATGGTCCGTAAACACCAAAAATCTTCATTAAATCTTGCTCTGTTATATTAACATTAATGTTTGCAACGAAAAGATTCGTCGTTGATACATCATCAGATTCAAAACAAACTAAATTCTGTGTAGATGATTCATTTCTTATTTTTAAGCGTTCATCTCTTTCAATATGTCTTTGACGTAATTCTTCTTTTAAAAGTTCCAAGTTCGATTTTGGTTTACCAGATTTTATGCGTTCATTTCGAGTATCTCTTAACAAAGTCGCACATTCAATCGCTTTCTTTATCGTCTCTTGATTCCCGTGGTGTCTTAATACAGGTTTTGGATTGTAAATTTTACCTTTGTCGTGTTCGTTCTCTTTATCTTTTGCGTATAAAATTCCCGATTTGACAAAAAGCTTATTTGGGGGGGTTGAATTGTCTTGAAATGTTTGGATAAATTCTTGAAAAGCGTAAGCTGTCGCTTCTTGTTCTTCTCGTTGTTTCCTTTCTAAATCACGTTTAGACATTTTCTTTAATTGAGGTTTTTGTTAATTGTGTTTTATTGTTACTATGGAAATATAAAATTACTTCTGGAAATAAAAATCATATATTATGGTAAAATTGTTTTCTACGTTATCAACATTTTTAGTTATTTTTAAGTCAACTGTCAAATATGCAAAGTTGGTAGTACTTTCCATGGACAGTACTATCTAACAAGACGGATACTTTTATTGACCAAAAACTAGAACTAACACTAGACCTAGACCGATTAGTTTCCATAAATCCCGTTATTATGGTACTTTAAATAGAACTCTGCACATTTTACAGCTATCAAGTTAACATTATCAACTAGAAATATCGTATCTCAAGAACTGATTGAGATATCGAAATGAAATAAGAAGCAATTTATACCAAATTTGATCTAGTTTTATTGTGCCATAAATAACTTCTTAGTTTCCATAAATTCCGTTATTATGGTACTTTAAATAGAACTCTGCACATTTTACAGCTATCAAGTGAACATTATCAAATTAGAAATATCGTATCTCAGGAACTAATTGAGATATCGGAATGAAATAAGAAGCAATTTATACCAAATCTGATCTAGTTTTATTGTGCCATAAATAATTTCTTAGTTTCCATAAATCCCGTTATTATGGTACTTTAAATAGAACTCTGCACATTTTACAGGTATCAAGTGAACATTATCAAAGTAGAAAAATCGTATCTCAGGAACTAATTGAGATATCGGAATGAAATAAGAAGCAATTTATACCAAATTTAATCGAGTTTTATTGTGCCATAAATAATTTCTTAGTTTCCATAAATTCCGTTATTATGGTACTTTAAATAGAACTCTGCACATTTTACAGCTATCAAGTTAACATTATCAAATTAGAAATATCGTATCTCAAGAACTACTTAATTGAGATATCGGAGTGAAATAAAAAGCAATTTAAAGCAAATTTGTTCTAGTTTTGTTGTGTCATAAATGATTTCTTAGTTTCCATATACCTCTCGGTTATGGTGGTTTGAATACAATTCAGCATTTTTAATTATTAAGGTTGTTTTCATAAACATTTTTTATTGCGCAGTAACTTTTCTTTTAAAAACAGAACTTTTTATTCCTGTTTCTAGTTATAGGTCTAGTGTTAGCTCTAGTGACAGTGCTAGACAACGCTAGGTTGTATTGAACCAAAGTCGTTTTGAAGCATTTGCTAATTCAAAGTGCAAAAAAAAGTAGACTACCCAAGCATGACGTCACAAACGGGCCATCGAGCTGTGGGATGCAGCAATCCTTTTAGATTTTACCCTTTCATAATTTACACAAAATTGCAATTTTTAAATAAAAACTTTGATGTTGTCTTACCAAATAGCTTAATTATTTATAGGTTATTATTAAACAAAAACCTTTTATTTTAAAAACAAATGTTTTTAGTTACATATCAGGAATAAGTATGTTAGGAATACCAGCAGAAATTTACACCTACGGGACCCAATTTTGGATGATAATTACATCAGAAGGTTTAGTATCCATAACAATGGCAGTTGCATATCTTCCTGTTTTTTACAAATTGCAAATTACCTCGAGTTATGAAGTAAGTACCACAGATTAAGAACTTAATCATTCAATTAGATTTTTTTTGCATTTTTATAGTACTTAAATCTAAGGTTTAATCAAACAGTAAGATTATTAGGATCAACTTTATTTCTTCTCAAGATGCTCCTTTACATACCAATAGTGATATATGTGCCTGCACTGGCTTTTAGCCAAGGTAAGATAATAAAAGCTTTTAGAACCCAAATTTCTTCGATTTTTTTCTAATTTTTAGTAACGGGTATTCACTTGCACCTTGTAACACCAGTTGTATGCATCGTTTGCATTTTTTACACAACATTGGTAAGTAAAAAACCCATCAAATTCTAGCGCTATTCATATTTACCACAAAACTGTTAAACTGACACACAATGCTACTGACGAAATAACGAATATCGTATGGAGTTACATCTAAAACGGGACCGACGAGTATCAATACAATTAACGAAGCAAGAAGGGGGCCCTCGTTTACTAACGACGGCGAAATAACAAGCACTGACGGTATGAATACTGACATAATTAACGATAACGCTAACAGAAGCATTAGGGCTTGATCGTCCATATCGTCTTGCTGATTACCTGCATCTTGTTGTCCTTCGATTTCCATTGTCGGAGATGACCATAAATGTTTAAATTTTTCGTACATTTCGGCATGCCTGTGTACTGTGAATTTTGATCGAGCATTTAACTAGGAGACACTAAAATTTTGAATCGTTGACGTTTGATTTGTTTTTATAAAGTGACGTTTGTGTTTTTGTTTTAATTGATTAGTAGGCGACGTATAAGTTTTAAAGTTGGCAAAATTTATTTATTCAAAAATTAAGAATTCTACAATAAACAAAGGTAATATAAATAATAAAATATATGAATACAATAAATACTTAAAATTTGTTTTAATATAATCACTTCACAAAAGTAGGAATGTAGTTTGTTTTTGGTGTTTGTTAAAAGATGGCGCTACGCGAAGCGTTTACAAATTTATTATGCTAATAAATACAACAATTTTTGCAATTGCTCAACAAAAATGTTTTTTTTAATAATAGATATCAAAATATCATTTCAATACCTACAAGATGACAAAATTACTTTAGTTTGGTTGTTAAACAAATCGTAGATGTTTCTATTCATAGATGGCGATATGTGACGACAAAATACGTTTATAAAAAGCAATTTAATAAATTTCTTAATAAAAATACACTAAATTAATTAAGAAAACTTAATTAAGTCAAATAAATAAAGTATTTGAATTTGCATCTCTTTTTGTATTGGATATCCTATACTTTTCTTTATGGTCAAATTCAAATGAAATTTTCCAAATGTCAAATTTGACATTTGAACTTTTCATCTATTAAATACATTAAAGTGAAGCTAAGTAACAAACAACAGTTAGTTTTACACCTGCTAGTATGTACATCCCCACAATTTACAGCTTATTTAGGGGTCAGAAAACCAGTCCAAGGTTTTAATGACCGTTCATGTAGAACAGAAGGTATGTTTTTTATGCCCGAAATTTGTGGCCATGGTACGCCAAAAATGGATTCCTTTAAGCACGTCTCGTCTTCCATTTCACATCCTCTACAAAGGGGTGTGTTCGCCAGCTTCATGTAGACCATATGCTTATGTAACCTGATGTCTCTGGTCAGGAAGTGAGTGAGGAACCTCAAGTCATTTTCTGATTTTCCCAGGAACTGAGTTGATCTCTTCCGGTCAAGGTAGAGCAGAGTTTTCTTTGCAAAGATACCTACTGCAATCTCATTCCATCTATCATGATCACATTAGTTGCTATATTTATAGCAGTTATTTCGGTCTGAGCAGTCGAAATGGAAAGGTGCAGATGGAGATCATAGATGGTCAGCATTTTATCTGTGTTAAAGTTGCTCTGGACTATCGTCTCAATGCAAAAGTATGGCCTGTTTAAGAAAGTAGGTGTGATGTAGTCTGTGCGAGCTTCAAGGAGGGGTTGTTTACGAACAACCTCACTCCAGAGTTCGCTCCGAACATTCCATTTTTACAACCTGTTTATTATCCACTGATCGCAATCGAAGCAATGCATCACGGCAATCTCCCTGATAAAAGTATCTAGGGGCAGCACGTTCATAGTCTCCATCGCGATCCTGAGTATCTATCTCATGGTGCTCGTGATTAACTTGGTGTTATCTTGACAAAGGACTGACTTGGAAAAATCACACATTAGTTGCAAAACCAAAAAGCAACAATGTGGATCTACACTTCTGTGATAAAACCCATGGTAGCCCATGGAGCCATAGTTTGGTGCTCAGCACTAAAACGTGCATATAAGGCTAGATTTCTGCACCAATTGCAATTGTTCAGCTAAAACTTGATTTTCTGGTTGAATCACAAGATTGTTCATATCAGAGTATAAAGGACAATTTAATTAACTTGAATGCATTAATTTAATTTAATTATTTTAAATACATTAATGAAGATATTGATTTTAGGGTGGATTGAAAGCAGTAGTATGGACAGATACAGTTCAAACATTAGTTATGTTTTGTGCTTTGGTGTGTGTAGCAGGAATGGGAACAATAAACGCTGGAGGATTCACAAAAGTATGGAATACAAATAACGAAGGAGGTCGAATCGATTTTTTTAAGTAATAAAAAGTATAAAAAAAGTAGTTTCAAAATCAAATTTTTTGTTTTACATAGTTTTAATTGGGATCCAACAATAAGACATACATTTTGGACTGTTTCAATCGGGAATTACTTTGGTTGGTTAGCTTCTTGTTCTATAAACCAAGCAATGGTACAAAGATGTCTTGCAATGCCCACATTAAGAAAGGCCAACATGTAACTTAATTAATCAAGTCTTTTATTTTTTTATTTATTATTTTAATTTGTTGTAATTATTGTAGAACCGTAGGCATATTAGTCGTTGGAATAATGGCGTTAGTTTCAATGTGTTGCTTTATGGGGTTACTTATTTACGCTACTTACCATAAATGCGATCCAATAACTCGAGGTGCTATTACAAAATCAGATCAATTGTTACCATATTTTGTTATGCATATAGCTGGGTCTATGCCTGGATTACCTGGTTTATTTGTAAGTGGAGTTTTTAGTGCTGCCTTAAGGTAATTTATAAATATCTTTTTGTTTTATATCATAACTTTATTTGTTGAACTTTGTTTTAGTTCAATGTCAACAGGTTTAAATTCAATGACTGGGGTAATATTTGAAGATTTAATAAAACCGAACGTTAAAAAACCTCTTTCGGAAGCTTACGCGAGTTTGTTAATGAAAACAATTGTTGTTATCATAGGAACGATATGTGTTGGTCTAGTTTTTGTGGTTGAAAAAATGGGTGCTTTAATTCAAGCTTCGGGTAGTTTGGCAGCTATAACAGCTGGGCCTTTATTGGGGATATTTACTTTAGGAATGTTTTTTCCATTTGTAAATCATTGGGTAAAAATTTGAAATAAAAATATATCTTTTTTTTAATTCTTTTTTATTTAGGGTGCTTTAAGTGGAGGATTAGTTAGCGGTGGATTAATAGCGTGGATTTCAATTGGAACTCAAATGCAAATGGCAAAAAATCTGATACAATTTCCTCAAAAGCCGGTTTCTGTAGAAGGATGCAATCCAAATTGGGTTATGGAATATTTAAGTTTAACTTTACATCCGGATGCGAAACCAAAATTGGATCCGCCGTTTTTTCTTTATAGAATATCGTATATGTATTATACAGCTTTAGGTTGTATAACCGCAATAACAATAGGAATTATTGTTAGTTTATTAACAGGGGGAAATAAAAATAAAATTGTAGATAAAAATTTATTCTCACCTGTAATTCATAAATTTATAAAAGGCAATGTACTAAATAATGAAATTAAATTAAATGAATTATAAGAAAAAGAAATCAAATGTTTTAATTATTTTCCAAAAAGGTACAGAAAATCCTAACACTAATTAAAATAAATCTTTTATGCGCCTATTTTTTCAATTTCATCGGAATCATCAGCGTTTAAATATTTTATTTTTCGACCAAAATGTTTTTCGAAAGTTTGACATATTTCCATAGCCTCAGAAGAATCAACCAAATTTATCGCGATACCGTGTTTACCAAATCTTCCTGTACGACCAATTCTATGTAAATAAGTTTCACAATCGGGTTGCCCATTTCCATCAAGAGGCAAATCAAAATTAACAACAATGGTAACTTGTTCAACATCTATTCCTCTCGACAAAACGTTCGTTGTTATCAAAACTTTTTCTGTACCGTTTCTGAATCGATCTAAAACGTGTATTCGTTGCTCTACGCTCAATTCTCCAGTTAAAATAGCCACTGCGTGACCATCTTTAGACATTTTTTCAGCTAACCAATTCGCAGTTCTTCTTGTCTACGGAAATAATTAAAAATAATTTGTTAAAAAAACGACGACATAATCATTTACATGGCAAAAAATAATCGCCTGACCAACTCCAACTGTCCCATAAATGTTTGTAACTGCGTTATATTTTTCTTGTTGACTTGCGCATTTAACATAATATTGTTTAATATTATCTAAACTTTCTTCTTCGCGTTTTAACCGAATTATTATTGGATTTTTAACAATTATTTCTGCAAAATCCATAATTTTCTGATTGTATGTTGCAGAGAAAAACATCATTTGACATGTTTGACTTAAACATCTAAAATTAAAAAAAATTAAAAACTAAAGGTGAAACTACAACGATAAATCTTGCTTATGAATTCGGATGCATTGATCTTGATGACCTTGAGTATCAATCATAACATCGGCTTCATCTAACACAAAAACGGTGATTTTACTCAAATCGAAAACGCGAAACTTCAAAGCCCAATCTAATACTTTTCCAGGAGTACCAATAACAACTTGTTCTGTTAATTTTGATCCCCTAGGCACTAAAAAAGCACAATAACCAATTAATTAATGCATTAAAAATTCATTAAAAGCTGCGGGTGTAAAATAACGGAAAAAGATTAAAATATCTTAAGAATTAAAAAAGATTAATTTATTAAGATTTAACAATAAAAATTCTAGAAAATCTATTTTATGGAGAATTATTTCTAAACTTTCAGATATTATTAAGCAAAGTATCTATTTTTCGATAAAAGTATCTGTTTTGAAAAATCTCTTTTAATTCTTGAGATATAAGTATGTAATGTTCGAATTTTTAAGATGTTCAGTATCTTGATAAATAATAAAAAATGTGGAAAATCAATTTCTCAATTTATAAATAGAACTTTTAGGATTTGTGTGGTGAAGCATTTGCTCTTCATTAAAAGTACCTGTTCTAAAAAATCGTTTATGGTTGTTGAGATACAAGTATGTAATAGAAGAGGAACATCAGAAAGGAATAGAAAGTATACAAAACAAGATATAACTCTCTTAGGCGTAAAGAATGTCTTAACTAATGATCCAAGTCGATTTTCAGAATTTGCTAAACTATGGAAGGATCCAAACCTCTTAACTAATCATGAAGAAACCTCAACATAACTGAGACAACTGAGTCTTCAACAACTTTTTTTTTAATTATACAAGTCAAAACACCAGAAGCAAATGGAATTTGGTCCAAATTATATAAAATATAGAAAAAGACATGATATTGAAAAACTAAATGTCGTAAAGAAAATGTTAATAATGATTAAAATTATTATAACAGACAGAACACGATGAAATTGAAGAAAGAAAATAGCAAGAATCTGATCTGATGCACTCCAAAATTCTTATAGATGTTTTGTTACTTAAAAAAATTGACGAAGCCAGTACTTATTACTTAATTCTCTGTGGAAATCAATAAGAAAGCTTAAAGCTCCAAAAACACATACACCTCCAATTCGAAATAGTGGGCAACAATGGAAATTGGACTAAGAGCAATCAAGAAAAAGTTAATTTGTTTGCTGAACATCTGAAAGACTGTCTGGTATAAAAATTACTATTAAAAAGACTAAAACCTATCATAGAAGAAAAAGCTCTAATACCAACACATCAATTTGGGTTTCGGAATAAACATGCAACAATAGACCAAGTGCATAGAATAACGAATACTATCGTAACAGCAATGAAAGAAAATAAAGTCTGCTCAGCCGTATTTTTGGATGTTGAACATGCTTTAAATTACAAACTAGACCAAATACCACCATCAACGTATAGCCAACCATTAAAATCGTATCTTTCTGATCAATATTTTAGAGTAAAATACGAAAACGCTTATCAAGGAAGTATGCTTGGCCCAACACTGTACTTACTCTACATATTCGACCTTCCTCAGGTACCAGAAACTTTAACAGCTACATTCGCAGATGACACAGCGATCTTGGCTGTTGCAGAAAATGAAGTAGTTGCAGCAAATAAGTTACAATTGGCCTTAAATTCAATAGAAAACTGGACCAAACAATGGCTAATAAAATTAAATATAAATAAAGCGACATACATAAACCCAGTACACATAAATGACAATGCACGTGAGGAACTTGATATCAAATTTAGACACCTATATTGGTTTATTGGCAGAAAATTAACGTCATACAGTGTGTGCCAAATGTCTGGAATATAGCCAATAACTTCGCCATTTGTGGTTTTAAAGAAAAATATTTCAAATACAAGTATCATTATTAATCATGGCGTATTTTTTGTCGGTATTTGCTTGTTTGTATTGTTTTTTGTTTCGTTGCTATGGCAACTAATATTATTATTTTAAATGGAATGCACTTTTTTGCATACTTTAATAGAGAGATACTAAATTTAGAGATAGTATAGAGATACTAAATAAGTTTAAACTGTCAATTTTTTGACATTTAAAGCTTTCAACGGCGCTATTTCGGCGCCTACTTTGATTGTAATTTGCTGATTTAATCGTTAAGATTAAAGAGACAAAAAAGTACCAATAATGAATAAGCTTTACAACCCATATTTCTTCATGTTAATATTCCATGGCGTTAAAAAGTTGTTATAAAAACATTAAAGGAGTTGTGCATTACATCCCCTTTGAGGGCGCTAGGGAAGTTTAAGGTATGGTTGAAAATAAGGTATTAACCTGTAGTACATACATACAAAATTTCAAATCCTAGTAAAGTTTCCCAATTAAAAACTGAACCACCCTGAATATGGTAACGCCATCTAGCGGGTGGTTTAGTTAAGATAATGATTCAGGGGCGATAAAGTAATTAATATATAACATAGTTATTAGTTACACTTATGTACTATTTTTGTAATTAAAAAAATACGACAAGTTTATAAAACGATTCAATAAAAATAAATTATTTTACCTTCTTCTCCTCTCACAGCAGATTTTAATTCAATTTCTGGACAATATTTAACCATATGGGCAGCAACTTCACCTGTTTGAACCGCTAGTTCATAAGTAGGTGATAAACACAACACCTAATAAAAAAAAATATTCAAAAAAAAATTCATAACATAATCAATTGAATTTACTTGAGGATATCTGAGATCAGGATTAACACGACTTAACATTGCTAAAACGAAAGCTGCTGTTTTTCCTGTGCCTGATTGTGATTGCGCTATAAGATTTTGTGGGGGATCTGTAAGTAATGTAGGTAAAGCAGTTTCTTGAATCTTCGAGGGAGCATTAAACCCCATTTCATAAACTCCTTTTAATAAGTTGGGTTTCCTAAGAATCAAAATAAATAAAACTTAATATATGTGTTAAATTAAAACGTTCTTACAATTCTAATGCTTCAAAAGTTTTAACTGAAAACAGAGGCGAATTGGGGTCTTGCCGTTGTATCTCCAAATCATTTTTATTGTCCACCAAACCTTTTCGAATTAATTTTTGCAAAAAACTAGAATCAGCAAGGCTAGGTTGGTCGGTTTCGTCAGAAGAGACATCACTTTTAGGGAGTTCGTTCGTTTTCGTTATTTCTACGTTGGAGAGCTAAAGCAGATTTTGTAAATGTGAGGTTATGTTTTTCGCGCGAATTAATAAAATCACCTTATTTGCAACTAACTTTTCTTGTTCGTCGACGAAGTTTGCCCAATCTGCTTTTGGAAACATTATTTTGTTGATATTATTAAATTTATTCGAACTTAATCACTCAAATCTAAGCGCCAACCGATACTTCAAAAATTTATTTTAAGGTTATGTTGTATGTGTCAAATTGAAAGGAAAAAATTAAAGTTATATAAATGCAATTTATTAAAAATTCTTTTATTATTTAATGCTGATTCAAATGAGAATAAAGTCTTCTCAACTTTTCTTATTTTCGTGTTTGTTGATTTTTTTCCAGGGTTTTGGTCCAAAAATTTATTTTAAGGTTATGTTGTATGTGTCAAATTGAAAGGAAAAAAATTAAAGTTATATAAATGCAATTTATTAAACATTTTTTTATTATTTAATGCTGATCCAAATGAGAATAAAGTCTACTTAACTTTTCTTTTTTCTTCTTATTTTCGTGTTTGTTGATTTTTTTCCAGGGTTTTGGTCCTAAATCTGTAGCTGATGTAGCCCTTGGAATTGATTAAAATATTAATTAAATGAAACGATTTTAGCATAAACTTTAAAATTACCCTGAAGAAATTAATTTAGTTCCTTTTGTATGCATCCCAGAAGAATTTCCCCCAAAAAATTGTTTGTTAAAATCTTCAGAGGTTACTCGTGTACCCTTTAAAAAAACTAATTAATTTAGAAATTATAAAAAATAAATAATAAAATTACAATAATTGCTCTTTGTTCGCGTAAAGGTAAATGTTTTTTAATAAAACTTTGATTTTTATTTTCCCAATCATTAAACTTTGATACATCACATCCAGGAGGTGAGTGAACATACAATAATTTTCCATGTAAGAAATCTTTTAAGATATATCTGGCAGCTCTTGGGTTATCAGGTTGACCATTAGCAGTCATGAAACCTCGACTATCTATAAAAATAAATTAAAGTATAAAAAAAAATTAATTTTGTTAAAATTTACATCCATAAGCATTTAAAATTTCTTCAGCTGTTGGGCAACGATCTTGATCTTCGCCTTCCATGGGATTTGGCAACATGATACTGTAAGTATTTTCAATAACCCTTCTTGGAATTAAAGAAGAAACTAAATTAATTGGAGGAACATGATCCCTCATTTGATCAATGGGTAAAATACCGTTTATAACCATATCTGCTTTAGAAAAAACAAAACTTGGCATTACCAATCCTGGGCAATCACAAAGTAATATTTCTGGGGTTAAGTACAAAGTTTGGAAATGTTTTGTTTTTCCAGGAGTTGCGGAAACGGAAACTTTCTTTTCCGTTAAAATGGCGTTTATTGTTGAACTTTTACCAACATTTGGATACCCAACTAAACCAATAGTTGTTATTCCTTCAGTTACTTTTGATTCGGTGTGAATTGTTCTGAATAACTCAATTAATTCTGATCTTGATAAAACTTTATTTTTATTTTTTAATGAATTTGTATCTTGATTTAATTCACATGAAACGTTTGGTAAAGAACTTGCTACTTCTAATAAACAATCTAACTTCTTTTCAATTGCATTAACTTCATTTTCTAACAAATTAACATCATTTTTAATATCATCAATATTTAATTCAGACTCATCATTATTTAAATCAGATTTTCTTTCATCAGAATCTTCTTTGATTTCATCTAAATCATCTTTTTGTAGTGCAGAAAAAAATGCATATTTTACCCCCAAAGAATCAAAATATTCCGCCCATAATTCTCTTTGTTTATCATTTAAAAAATCGGCCTTATTTAAAAGAACTAAATTTGTCTTTTTATCTGATACTTCTTTCACATATTTTTCTAAATCCTCACATCTGAACAACAAAGGATTTCTTGCATCAACAATTTGGATGACAACATCACTTTTTTCAACAACTCTCCAAAGTTGGCGCCAAAACTCCAAATTTTTTTCATAGGGTGTTAATAAAATTCCCTTTTCTTCTTGTAAAGTTGCTAAAGACCGTCTCCATTCTAAAAAATTATCTTTTTCTCGTTGATGAAGTTCTTCAGCTGACATTTGAGTTGTCCAAGATGGTCTAAAATTAAAATAATGAAGGAAAAACGAAAAACAATAATTGGGATTTACCTTCTTGGAATTTTAACAACATCTTTATTTTTATCAAACTCTTCAATAGCTCGCTTTTTTTCCTCTTCAGTTAAAAGTCCCACATTCGAACGTGGATTAACAAATTTAATATTAAGCTTTTCCGCTTGAAATTCTGTTCCTGCTAATTCCGCGGTTGATAAAAATTCTTGAAAAGACGATTCTTCAGTAACCGATTGCAAATTTAATCTACCCCAATCGTAACCGTCTTGAATTTCAGTTGTGTGTAACTTAAATCAAGAAAAAATAAAAAAATATTTTTTTAGGTTAATTTTTTTTGGTACCATAGATCCATCTGAAGTAAATTTTTTATTCGATGTATTAGAAAATCTGCTTTTTACTAAGGCTCTTCCTAATTGATTTGAGCTATTTTTATTCTTTTTCCCCATATTTAAGCTAATTTTTGACACATGGAGTTGTAAACATAACCTCACTTCTTGAAACGTCAAAGTGACAAGTAAAATTTTTAAATCTTATTGAAAGTTGGGAAAGATAAAATAAAACACAAATTTTATGTTTTAATTCATACGAAACGTTTGGTAAAGAACGTGCTATTTCTAATAAACAATCTAGTTTTTTTTTAATTGTTTTAACTTCATTTTCTAACAAATTAACATCATTTTTAATATCAACAATATTTAATTCAGACTCTTCAACACAATGTTTTTTGATTCCATCTAAATCATGTTTTTGTATGCAGAAAAGAATGCATATTGTACCCCATCACTTTTTTCAACAACTCTCCAAAATTGGCGCCAAAACTCCAAATTTTTTTTCATATGGCGTTAATAAAATTCCCTTTTCTTATTGTAAAGATGCTAAAGACCGTCTCCATTCTAAAAAATTATCTTTTTCTTGCTGATGAAGTTCTTCAGCTGACATTTGAGTTGTCTAAGATGGTCTAAAATTGAAATAATGAAAAACATTAATAGTTGGGATTTACCTTCTTGGAATCTTAACATCTTTATTTTTATCAAATTCTGTAACCGATTGCAAATTTAATCGTAACCGTCTTGAATTTCAGTTGTATGTAACTTAAATCAAGAAAAAATAAAAAAAAAATTTTTTTTGGTGAATTTTTTTTAATATCATAGATCCATTTGAAATTTGTAATTTTTTATTCTATGTATTAGAAAAACTGCTTTTTGCTAAGGCTCTTCCTAATTAATTTGAGCTATTTTTATTCTTTTTCCCCACATTTAAGCTAATTTTTGACACATAGAGTTGTAAACATAACCTAATTTCTTGAAACGTCAAAGTGACAAGTAAAATTTTATTGAAAACTGGGAAAGATAAAATAAAACACAAATTTCTACTTAACGTATCAATATTTAAAAACAAACTTGCTATTCCAATATAAACTATCTTTTTTATAAGTATTTACATATATTCATATCAAACATACAATGGATTAGATTTGCTAAAAACTAAACCATACAAGAGATAGAACAAATGGGATTCGAAAACACATATCATAAAAAAATGAATTCGTATATTCGTGTTAATCCTTAAAAAAAACAAAACAAAACAAAAAAGGGAGAGAAAAGTTATGATTTATCACGTTTCTTAAAGTTACGTTTGCTTGCACACCTATTGATTATGTCCGTCACATGCACTTTGTGATCAAAAATCTTCATTAAAGTCGATTTTGCTTCCACCATACCTTCATTAATTACTTTTATTCTTTGCAAGTTACCCTAAAAATAATAATACATAATAATTAAAATAATAATTATATTTTAATCATAATTTTTTTACTTTAATAAGTTCATTAACTCGATCAACATCACTATCAACATCCCCTTTTAAATCGGTCGATTTAAGAAGTTCTTCTAACTGAGAATAAACAGAATCACCTTGTTCCGCCTATAACAAAACAAAAATATAATAATTTCTTAAAAGTATTAAAAAAATCCTTTTTTTTACCAAATCTAACATTTGCGTTGTTAAATGATGAACTTTCCATCCATTAACTTTATCCATAACTTTACATTGATTAGCCAAGTCGACAATACTTGGTTTTCTTTCTTCTTTAGGTCGCACATCTGAGTATCTTAAAAAATGATTTTGAGTGGTTTTCCATGGGTGGCGATAACTGTTCAATAAACTCGCAGAAGTTGACTTTCTTAACGACGCGTTATTATTTTGAACTTCTGGAGTGTATTCTCTATGTCCTTCCGATCGATTTCCATCAGAATCTTCTTCCTTTTTAATGTTATTTTCAGAGAGAAATTGCATTTCTTCACTCACTTCATCCATTATATCATTTCCAGTCCTACACACAAAAAAAGTTATTTTTTTTCTAAATTGGAATTTATAAAACTTACAATTGTTGTTTACGCGGTTTTTTTCTTGGACTCATTTCTAGAGGTGGTCGATTTTCTTCTTCCTCTTTGTTCATAGGGATAGGAGGTAAACTATCTTCGTTTGTTTCACCTGGTCCAGGACTTGAAGTTGCCGAAATTGTTGTACTTCCAGCTAAACGATAATTATATTGTAAAAATATAATGTTAGTATATTGTATAAAAATAATATTTTTACCTGAACTATTTCCATTACCAGCAGAATCTGGTCTTGAAGGAGGCGATGACGGTTGTTGCGCTAAACTCGTCAAAACAGTTTGTAAATTTTTAGCACTTTTTAATGGTGACCCTTCATGATCCCGTTTTCTTAAAATACTCGGTCTAGATGACGAGGAAAGTTTCGTTGGCGTCAATGTGTTGTGTTGCTGTTGATTATTTTCGGGTATTTGATTCGTGGTATCTTGCTGCGTAAATTGTTGACCTCCAATTACCATCACCTGATTAAATCGCATGGATTGATTCGCCCCCAAACTCAAATTGGTTGCCCTTTGTTGAGTTGTAACGGGGGTTATAGCCGCGAACGACGATTGTTGTTGCCCAAAAGGCCTTGAATAATTATCGTAGAAATACGTTCCACCCGCAATCGAATAAGCTGCAACTGTAGTTGTGGTTGTTGGAACGTTTGAAGAATGTGTTGTTGATGAAGGACCTATTAACCAAATCGATTAAGTTTAGAGCTTAATTAAACAAAAATTAACTGTCATATTTAAGTAATTTAAAATATTTCATCATAGCTTACTTGGTGAACTTCTTCTGGGTAACGAATTAACTGGTGCGTGAATGAAAACGTTCGTTGGAGGTACCGCTTGTCCTTCTTGAGAAAACACTTTCGTTAGGGGTATTGTTTGTGATGGGACAATATTTGCTTGTCTCTGAGCTACAAGAGCAGCTGGTTGAACGTTGACTAAAATTTAGAAAAAATTAAAGTAAAATAATTTTCGAAATTATTAAATTCAATACTTGTTCTTGTTGTAGGTGTAACAGTTTGCGCCGATTTTAATGTATTAGGCAACTGAGCAAGATGTATAGAAGCACCTAAATCAAAATTAAATCAAAAAAATTAATTTTTAAAATTTAATTTTTATAGGTTAGATTAAATGTCAAGATGAAATTATCATTTTAGGTTATGTTAAATGTCATTTTTGTTGGGATTTTTTTTTGAGATATTTAATTATTAAATCGAGTAAAAATCACCTTGTTGAGTTTGTTGTGTAATAACTTTAGGCACTTGGGGTTGTAATGCCCTCATTGGAGCTGTAGTAGCTACAGCAACAATCGGTTGCAAAGACAATGTGGGAATTCGATTTTGTGTAATTATATTTCCTGTAGTTGTTTGAGGTTGACTTGTGGGTAATCTTCCTACAGTAACATTACTTGGAGCTGTTGAAAGGATGCGTTGTGTTCCGATAATCGTGGGCTGTTGAGATGTGGATACAGTTGATATCCTGGTACTAGTTGCTAAGATCTGTGGGGTTACCAACCTTGCAGTTCCACCTGGAGGAACATTTACTGGAAGTCGAGTTGCTGAAACTTGCGCCTAAAAAATCAAATAATTATATTAACAACGAAGAGGAATAAAAAAAAATTTTTTTGCGGCAAAAATTAAGTAAATATGTCCATTTGGATGCTTGCACTTTGTATCTAAATCACTTTAAGAAGCCCAACTTTGAATTTCTAGATTTTCATAATCAGAAAGATGCGCAAAATCAGCAGAATATGAAGTACTTGGTTTTGGTTGTTGCTCCGACTTACCGCATTCGAAGTTTCGTCTTTTATGATGAATAAACGAAAAAGTTAAAATGGTGCAGTTAAAATTCTTATAGCAACTTTAGATAACGACGTTGCACCAAGAAACTGGAGATGTAGAATGGATGCAACTCCAGAGGAAACTTTTGGATCATAATTTGTGCTTTGAGCGATAATTTGCTAAATCTGTCATAACATTTTTAAAGGAATCGACGTTTATAATTATAACTCCATCGCGTCAATTTGTTGTTCTTGATTAAGGTTTGAACCTTGATTTAATGGATCTAGTAATGCAGCTGCAAAATGGAGTGGCAAAGCATGGTCTTTCCTCTCTTCAAATGATTTCAAAATATTGGCAACATCGTTTTCATTCAAGTCCATGTCACTTCCGGAAAGATTTTCTCTTAAATTTACTTCAACATTTGAAATTTGTCTAAAGATTCCACAATTGGTTTCAGTATTCGAATAATCGCGTCAATTTTAGCCCAAAATGTAAAGTTATCTAATAAATTTCTTTTCATATGTGCAGGTGGTAATGCAGATGATTCTTTTTTTGCAGCTAGGTGTTGAATTGACACTTTTTATTACCCCAATCTGTTTCACTAGGCAGTTTTAACGCAATATTCTCTCTTTATTAATATCTATAAATAAGGCATTTAAAACATGGACCTCTTTGATTTTTTTTGCAATTGCAATTAGTGTTCATGAATTATTGAATGTAATCACATTTCAGTCACAATAAATGAAAAGTATGTGCTAGATATTCTAATGAAATCATATGACTACACTTTTCCTGGGCATATTTGAAAGATTTTTGCATATTTGCAGCGTTATTCCCTATTACACAGAAAAACTTTTCAGGTCCATATTTTTCAATTACCTCGCTTAGTTTATAAGATAAATATGCCGCGGGGTGCAGATGTGTCTTAGTATTTAAAAAATTTACGAAAATTAATTCTTGCTTTGTTACTATAAAATTTATGATGGCTTCATTCTTAATATTGTTCCACCCATCACATTGCAGATTAAGGTTGGACAATTATTATTCGCAACATTTTTGTTGCAACGTTGAAATGTCTTAAATTGCATCGACATTAAAGATACCGTACTGTTCAGAGGGAAATTAAAATTGCCTTATTTTTAAAAATGTTATTAATAAAAGTTATAAAAGTTATTAATAAAAGAGGACAAAAAGGGCTTCCAGTTGGAATACTGATGACGTGGAAGGCCCAAGAAACCACCTTGATGATTGCTACTTTTGTGCTGTGAATGTAAAAGGTATGAACTAATACAAAAAGCGCTCTTGGGTTTACCCAAATGTACAATCCACTTAATCATGTTAACACCTCAAACAATAAATTTAATTTCTAGGATAGGATAGAAGACTATTAAAGCTTCTTCAGGGCTTGAATTTCTAAAAATCAAGTAACTAATGTTAAACTAGTTATAAAACATTACAAGAAACATACAACTTGTACTTGAAAAAGTATTAAAAATCAGCCACAACGCATATTTTAAATCCATGTAAGAACATGAATTTCACATTTAATTTAATGTCATCTATTTTGTACCTTACAGTTCTTGTAATCAATCTTATATTGGTCAAACTGGCCAATGGATAAATAAATCAACACAAAGGTGATGTTAGAAATTTATGTTAGGTTATTTATTGGTCACTTATTTAATTTTGAGGAGACTAAGGTATTAGTTAGAGAACAAAATTATCATAAACGCTTATTTCTTGAAATGTTTCACATTGTTAATAAAAAATATAGTCAATTTTAGGTCTTTGTGGTTCTGACATGGATTTAAGATGTGCATTGTGGCTGATTTTTAATACTTTTTCGCTGTTTCAAGTAAAATTTGTAAGTTTTTTGTAACGTTTTATAACTAGTTTAACATTAATTACTTGATTTGTAGGAATTCAAACCCTGAAGAAAGCGAAATATTGCTATATGAAAAAATAATTGCGTCCTTGAAATTAAAATTATTGTTCAAATTATTTATTATTATTTACCATTGGCCTAGGTGTTGTTGGTTGCCTTTGAGTCTGTAAAGAACTAGCTATTGTAACTCTTGAATTCGAGACAAATTGTGTTGTTGGAACCGAGCTATAAACCAAAGTTTGAGTTCTTGATGGTAACACTTGTGCAATTGTCACTGTACTGCCTATTGTTTGAATACTGGATATGTTTTGGGCAGTTTTATTAAAGGTGTGTACCTTTAACGAGAATAAAATTAATATTTCCAATTAATTTTTTTAATTAATTAATAAATCTTACCTGGTTGTTTTGTCCAACAGTAATAGCTGATTGTAAAATAGTGGAAGTCGGTCTCACTGTACTAATATTTTGAGGAACTGTTTGCGCCCTTCCAATGATCTGAGATTTAAGACATCCTGGTGCTGTGGTTGTTTTAATAGGCGGACTTAAAGTGGCTTTAATTTGAGCCCCATTAGCTGTATTTGAAGGATGCCAAGTACTACCTAAAGCGGGACTTGGTGTTCTTGGAGGTCTTACGAAATTCTATAACAAAATAATTGTATAAAAAATAACCACAATACAATAATTCATTAATACCTGTGTTGTTTGTGCTACAACAATAGGCCCCCTAGCTGTAGAAACATTGCTTCTAGGTGCAGCAAGGTTAGCAACAACAGCAGGTCCTCTAGGAACGTGATAAGTAGTTCCCGTAGTTTGTGCAACCACTGGAATACTTGCTGTTGCTAAAGTTATTTGAGCAGGACGTTGTACAGTTATCGTTCCAGAAACTTGAGATTGATTTGTATCTAAAAAATATTAAAAAGATTGATTATTAATCTAATAATAGTTTAGGAACAAAAAAACTTACTCTGTTTAATAATTTGTGGCATATTTGCAGTAATGATAGTAGGTGCTCCAATACCACCCTGACCTGTTGATGAATGCGTTAAAAGACGCATACCCCGTAATTGTTGCCCCGTAACAATAGGAGTCTTAGCATCAATGGTTTTAACTGCAGTTAATTTTGAAGCTAAGTCCAATGGGAACGACTTCCCCGCTTCGGATTTTTCTTCTTCAGTATTAGTACTCATTATTAATCGAAGTTAATTAACAGAGGCCTCACTTAGTCCATTTCTATTTCAATTAATTATACTTTCAATCTGTTTCTGTATATTTTTGTAACACAAGGTATAACTCCACGCACTGCTATTTTCAACTACATGTGCTACGGTTTCGCGTTTGATTCACTAAAACTTGGTAGAAACTTTGTGGGGAACATCTCGCTAAGAATTCGTAAAATTCGTTACTTCGACGACAAACTTTAAAATTCTTTACAATACTACAACTATCCCGAATGTACTTCTTGCAACGCTGTGCGCAGTAAGATAAATTTATGGTACTGCGCATGTTTACTAAAAAAAGACGATTTTAGCCGACTTTTGTGTATTGTCTAATGAACTAAAACAACTTGAAATGACCTTATTTTTAATTATACACTTCATTTATTACTTTAAATTATGATAAATAAGTTTTTTTAATGAAGAAATATAATTAAATGTTTATCTTTATATCATTAAGCTGGTTTATATATCATTTTACAGGTCAACCTAAAAACATATCTTAAATCGAGTAGATTTAGCTACTGATCATAGATGGAACCACGGTTAAATAGAAATTTAAATAATTAAAAATTTACCCAAAACGTATTAAATTAAGTTTTTTGTAATTTTATGAAATAAGCGAAAAAATCGTTTGTATAGAAGGAATAATTAAAGATTAAATAAATAATCAACAATTAATAAAATTGATGACTCGAATAAACACCATCTAGTGGGTAGCAGAAGAAGTATTTTCAATCCAAAAATTCTTTTGATGGAAATGTGTTTTTTCTTAAAAACATATTGAATTTATTAACTTTTTTAAATAATTTCTAATCCACAAAACACATTTTTAATATTTATGACTTTAATAAAATTTTAATTCAAAAAATTTATCACAAACTGTTTCGATTGATTTTTAAAATTGCTTCTTATCCAAATAAAATTCTAAAAATATAAAAAAATCATTTAAAAATATCCACAATATACTTATTAAAACAATTAATGTATTAAAATTAATTTTATGGAAACATTTTTACTCAATCGAAACGTTTTAATTTATGTGATGACATCCATGACATTAAATTTTTTTGAAGTGTACAAAGTAAAATTGGCAACGTCGCGTTCAATCGTTGAAGACAGAGGGGGGTTTATAAAATCATGCAAATATCGCTGTAAAGAATTCCTGCGAAGCCGGTGGACGAATCATCCATTTTAAACCACCAAAATTCTATTCGAAAATGGATATTTGGATTACCCGCTTTTAATGATATCTCACGTGTGACTTTGTAAACTGTTTATAACATAACCTAAAAGTTCAAAAATGACCGAAAAGTTTCCAACCGATTGGGATATCGACCAATATTACGACGAAATGGAACCAGAAGAACATTGGGAATTGCGCAAAGCGTTCATGGAAGTCCATAAGGATAAATTTCCTGAAGATTATTTGGTGGCTTTAGCGACGACGTTTACTAATATTGAATTATTAGGATGCATGTAGGTTTTTTGTTGTTTAAATCAATGTTTGGAAATGTAAATTATCATTTTTTTATAGATATCCCGCCCCTTTAATGTTGAGGATAGAAGAATTATCAAAAGATGTTGGTTCTTATTTAAAAAAATATCGGGAGCTGAAAAAGACAAAACTCCAACGTACTTTTCAATCAGCATCAAGTGCTGCTGAAAAAAAAGTTGCTGGAAAAAGACACTCAGATCCTGAACGTTATCACAAAACTAATAAAATGCATTAATTATTTTCAAAACAATTTTATTGACATTGTTTAAAATTTTTGTAACAAAAACAGAAAATATATACACATTTCATTTACATCAAAAAAAAGGCTATTTTATTTCTTATCATTATCCGTATGCAAACCTTCAATTGAAACGCTTAATTGTTCTAGTCTTTGAATTAATTGGCTCATTGTGTGCTGTGATTTTCTGATATTTTCGTCAGTTAGTGAAGGTTCATTTACTGAACCTAAATCAAAGTGTAGTTTGGCAAGTTTTTCCTGTTGTTCTCTGATATTGGTCATTTGTTCCATGGTACATCCACTTCCGAAAGCTCTTAATTTACCCGAATGGAAATCTTCCAATAACCCCAAAAGAGATTTTTCCATGTGGCGTACATCGGGCACTTCAGACAAAAAGCAATGGTGTCGAACATTTGTGCTAATTGGTTCTAAATTAAAATAAAAAATCCAAAAGAAATAAAGAAAAATCAAAAAAGAATTTAGGTTATGTCACCTGTTATAACCCTGACATCTACATTTCTTTTTTTTAAATAAATTTATATTAACCAATTATGTAAAAAAAATAATTAAAGTCCTTAATTGTTTACCTTTATGTGGATTTCTTGGTCTAGCCGTTGAAGAATTTTTATTATAATCTTTAGCTTTTTGTTTTTCATTAATGAATAATAATTTAGAATTTCCACGATTACCATGGATTATATTTCCATGGTGGCCCCTAGAAACAGAACTCTGACTTGTAGTATTTCCTGAAGAAGAAATCTAATACAACTTATTAGATAACTTAGATAATTCGATACATTGATACTCACAATATTACTTCGAACAGGAGATATTATCTTCGATTCGGGTACCGTATCATCTTGGGCTAAACTATCGTCGTTTTCACCATCCACATCGCTTAAAACTAATTGTTGCGTTTCCGATTCACCCCTCGATTCCATTATTTCTATATTTATTTAATTAAATGGGTGGGCTTTAAAAGTAAGATAACCTAAAAAAAATGTTGACATTTGATAAACAATGCAGATTTATTATTAACGGGCTACCAACTTAAATCTATACAGAACAAATCATTTATGGTGGCGTACTTAATACAAAAAGATATAAATTAATTATCTTTATTTATAAATTGTAAACGTTAATTTATAAAAAGTGAATTAATATTAATCATTTTTAATTAAATCAGTTAAATATGTAATTTATCATATAAAAGCGAAACTTGTTTTTTGGTGAATCTCCCATCAAGCTGTTTTAAACGTACTATACGTGGGGGTTTAAGGCAAGTTCAATAAATGGAGTGTTTTTTTAATGTGTAGAAATGGCGACAAATATTTGGGCGTTTACCCAAAAATTGTCCAAGTAAATGAAATAAATGCTTAAAAAAGATAAATGTTTATTAATTTATATTTATTTTTAGGCAACACACCTCGGAATCCCGTAAAAACGTTTCGTGTTATTCATCAAAAAGTTGTTTAGTTTCACCAAGTGCAGGGGTATGAAAAACAAGCATAAAAACATCTTATACATTTTTATTTATTTAGAATTGGACTTATGATGTGGTTGAACCATTTGATTACGAAGAGTTTTTACTTCAATATCAAATTTTAATTGAAAGGGAACCTTTAAGAGGAATTTTAGATTTTCCACCCAATGATGTTGATATTAAATATATCGAGAGGCCAATACGTACATTGCAACCTATTATTCCAGAAGAAAAACTGTAAATAACAAAATTAAAGTGTAATTTTAAAATAATGAAATTGATTTTTTAGTGATGTTTTGTCCCCACATGTTAAAGCATGTATTCGTTGCTACACATCAGATTGGAAAATCGTTAAATATCAAAATAGGAATTACAGCAGTACTATTGGACCAAGGGTGAATTTGCCATTAAATCTTAGTGTTAAACAAGAATTTGAAGATGATTATCAAGGTGGTCCAACTGAATCAAACAGTGAAGTTGATATACAATCAATATCAAGTAGTGAACGACAAAGTGTGATTTCAATGGGATCAAGTGTATCATCATGTGGAGATACTTTAACCCCGAGGAATTCTTGGGCTTCTTTGGATTTAAGACATTTAGCTGGGGATCCATTAATTACAGAAATTTTGGAACATTTTTCACCAGAAATTTTAGACCAACTGAATGAATCTCGCCGACAAGTAGAGAGACAAGAATCTCTTTTCGTTTTAAGCCCACCTAACGAAGATACAGAGCCAATTGAGCGCAGACTTCCTGCTTTACCACCTTCTGAACATGTTGGGCACAGAATCCTAGTGAAATGTCTTCAATTAACGTAAAATTTATTATTTATTATGCACAGGGCAACTCTGATTCTGTGGCATGTGGTTTATTAGTCAATTTTAAGTCATTTTGGTCTCTTGAATATAAAAATAATAATATTTTTGTTGAATTGACTTTATTTTTTATGATAAAGGCTAGTATAAATGGTTATACTGGAAATTAATAATAAAATTAATCATAAAAAACAAAGATATGTCAATAAGAGTTAAGAAAAACGTTTTGTATGCAATTTTCTATGCTATTTGATACTCATATTAGCTCCTAATCTTTGGAAATTCTGTAGCATTTTGTCTACTACTTTCAAATATTCTTCAGCTTTATGATTCAAACATTGAAAAACAAAAACATGTCAATAAGAGTTAAGAAAAATGTTTTGTATGGGATTTTCTATGGTGTTTTTGGTCTGGACAGTCTCTTTGCAACTTCTAGCAGTAGTTTGCCATCATAATATGGCGATCCAACTGCCTTGATATCTTCCCTCCATAACGTTGATGTCCTGGTGGAATGGTTCCCATTGTCCTTCCCTATAATCACCGCAAATAATGCTATTTGATACTCATATTAGCTTCTAATTTTTGAAAATTCTGGAGCATTTTATCTACTACTTCGAAATATTCTTCAGTTTTATGATTCAAACATTGAAAAACAAAAACATATCAATAATAGTTAATAAAACGTTTTGTATGGGATTTTCTATGGTGTTTTTGGTCTGAACAGTCTCTTTGCAACTTCCAGCAGTAGTTCCAGTGGTAGGTTGGCGATCCCAACGACCTTGAAATCTTTCCTCCATAACCTTGATATCCTGGTAGAATCGTCGCAAATAATGCTATTTGTACTCATACCCAGTAAACAAATTTGCGTTTCAGAAACATTTCTGATACATATTATTGAAACATGAAATGTTTCTTCGACATATTTCTGAAACATAGTTGAAACGTGTCTGAAACTGCAATAGAACAAGACGTGACAAGACGCTGACCGCATCACCGCGGTGAAGATATTAAAGACATGGTTCAGTTTTTCGTAAAAATCGTACCTGTTACGTATATGAAATGGAGGTCTAAGATGTTTCAATTCACTGTACGTTAAAATGGAAATGTTTCACAAATGTTTCTTGTTCACTACGATATTAGCTCCTAATTTTTATTAATTTTGGAAATTCTGGAGCATTTTGTCTACTAGTTCAGCATATTCTTCAGCTTTATGATTCCCCAAAAAATTTTGATAACTGATACAAAGCTTGCCCATCCTTCTAATTTAACTTAAGTCATGTGGTGTGAAATCATCATTGTTTATAAGAGTGCGGATTTGAGGTCCATCAAAAATTCCTCTTTTTAACTTTTCTATACTGAGACCAGGCAATAAATGAGAAATATACTTGAAGCAATCGCCATTCCTATCTTAAAGCTTTAAGAAACTGTTTTCTTAGCTCAAGTTTTGTATGTAGTGGCGGAAGAATGTCTTTTTCTTGACTGATGAATAGTTCATAAGCTATGTTAGCGTTTCCTACAGTCATATTCATTCTGTATGGCTAGTCTTTCCCACTGCCCACAGACAAAGAAATCGTTTTTAAATGTACACACACTTGTTATAATTGTTTATGTTCAGAGAGCTTGTTAAATCTTGTACAAGAGGAAGAACCTTGTTAATATTAAAACATTTTGCTTCTATGTTTAATAATTAATAAATACATTTTTTGGTAGAGGTTTTGTTAGGATATCTGCGAGATTTTCAGCAGTAGGTACATATTGCATGTTAATAGTTTTATTATTTATTAATTGTTTAAGAAAATAATTTCTGACATCAATATGTTTAGACCTCTGTGAACTTTCGAACGAATTTGCCATAAAAATTGTGCTTTTGTTGTCGCAGTACATAATTCCATTTGTTTTTTAAATTAATTATTTATTGTGCTGTTACAGCAGCAGCCATGAATTCGGACTCTGCAGTTGATAAAGCTACACATTTCTGTTTTCTTGAAAACCAATGCACTAAATTATTTCCATAAAATAAGAGTCCGCCACTGATACTTTTTCTATCTGATTTATCAGATGCCCAATCAGAATCAGTATAAGCAATCAAGCTATTGCTTGTTCTATTTAACTTATAATTAAGGCCTAAATCCTTGGTTCCTTTTAAATATCGAAGAATTCTCTTCGCTGCTTTTTTTTACATCAAACTTCCTATAAGTTCTCTATAAGGAACATTTTTAATTTCGTTGTTATCTTCAAATACATTAAAAAATCCTCCAAGCCAAATGTTTTGAGAATTTTATCTATCATATCTGTTTGATTTATATTTAAAGTTTTATCTGTATGCACTATATTCACTTCTAAAACTGTCTTTACATTTCCTGAATCTTTATCATTAATTTCTAATTTTAATTTATTTACCATTTCTTCTATATTGATATCTTCTCCAATCATCAACATAAACTAAGAGCCATATTGTCTTATCAAAATATAAAGAACAATCATAAAGAGATCGTTTCAACTTGTCCTTTAAAACAACTTCGTTGAGTTTTATATTCAACGCTTTTGGAGATTCCCTCAGCCCATATAACGCTCGATTCAGTTTTAGGTACTTTGACGTTGATTCATAGCTTTCTTTCCTTCAGGTAGATTGGTTTCTTCTTCCCATGTTTTTAGTTTTTCTTATGAATTTAATTCTTTTTTTATTGCTTCTTTCCATTTTTGTTCTTTTACAGCCTCTTGAAATGTTTCAGGATCTTCAGTGCTTACATTTAAACAATAAATGTTGTATAATTCGTAATCTGAAAAGTGTTTAGGTATTTTAACTTGTCGACCAGATTAGTGCGTTTTTCTTCTGTAACGTTTTCTTCTATATCTTCTTCTCTGTCGTCTGTCGTAGTTTCATTATCTTCATATTCAGTCAGATTTTCTTCATTATCTCCTTTTTTTTGTATGTACTTTTTCCCTTGTAACAACTATATCACATCTCTGGCATTGATTATTTCATTTATTCGGTAATTTCTATCATTTTAATATAAACTACTTCATATTTATGTGTATCTAAATTGACTCCATAAACATATGTCGCAGAAAAAAAATTTGTTGTTCCCCTGTAATATTTAAATTTGTTATTTAATTTTTTTTGTTATAGTTTGGAATTGGAAGTTGAACCTCTTTTTGCTTCGATGGCTCTTTATGACGCAAAAGAACGTAAAAAAGTTTCCGAAACATTTTATTTCGATTTAAATCCAGAAAGTTTAAAAAGAATGCTTGGCGATCACATTCCTTATAGCGATACTAGTACTTTAGCGAGAGCTTGTGCTTTCGATGTTTCGTACCCCTCCGCGGATTTATTTATTGTGATTAGACTTGAAAAAGTGCTTCAAGGTGATATTAACGATTGCATCGAACCGTATTTAAAAGACGATAAAAATAGGGAAAAATTAAAAAGTAATGCCGTTTCCGTTTGTGAGCGATTAGGAAAATATCGCCAACCGTTCGCTTGGACCGCAATTTATTTAATGAACATTATTAACGGTGGGAATTCTTTAGATAGGGACGAAAAAGATTATTGCGGAACATCAAATACAAATAGTTTAGATCGAAAAACGTCGAGTAGCGGATTGGAGCAACTTCGAAAACGCGCTTCTGACATGGGAACTTTAACTCGGAGGGGTTCGTTAGAAAGACGTTCGGAGAAACGTCGATCGTGGTCCCCGGATCATTTGGCGAATAGTTTGGATAATTTTCGCCCGATTACTTTGACGATGTCATCGTTTTTTAAACAAGAGCCCGAAAAAATGAAAGACGAAGATCTTTACAAATGCCTCTTAGAATTTAAAAAACCGAATTTAATTTTTAAAAAATTAAAATGTATTCCTGCAACGCTAAAATTAGATATCTCACCAATGCCGGTTGATACCAAAAATTGTTTAACACCCGAATTAATGAAATTACATCCTTACATGGATGATAAATGTCGACCTGTTAAAGAATTGCTCGAGTTTCCGGTTAAAGAAATTTTAACTCCTCATTATGTGTATCGAAATTTATTATTTGTAAATCCTAAAGAGTTAAATTTTTCAAATCGAACTGGTTCGGCTAGAAATTTAACGGTGAAAGTGCAATTAATGGCCGGGGAGGAAATTGGAAACGCTTTAAATAGCATTTTTGGAAAATCTAGTTGCCCCGAAATGGCTAATGAAGCTTACACGACCGTTACATACCATAATAAATGCCCATCATTTTACGATGAAATCAAAATAAAACTACCAGCCGCTTTAGAAGATAAACACCATTTATTATTCACATTTTATCACATTTCTTGTCAAAAGAAATTGGAACAACCCACCGTTGATACCCCTGTTGGTTACACTTGGTTACCTTTATTACGAGATGGTCGACTCGTTTCTGGAGAATTTTCTTTACCAATTATGTTGGATCAACTCCCTGCAAATTATAGTTATATCCCACCTGATGTTTGTTTACCATCAACGCGTTGGTTAGATAACCATAAAGGATTATTTACGGTCGTTTTAGACACAACATCTTCAATTCACACTCAAGATCCTGCAATTGAACGATTCTTCTCAGCTTACGATTACGTGTACGCAGGATGTATTCCAAGTAGATTAGGCGAAAGCGGTGTTGAAGCTGAATTACGATCGTCAATGATCGGTTTAGAAAACGCACAACCCGAAGCGATTATAAGAAACTTAACTGTTATTTTAGACAGTATCATTCAATTATTAGTACAACCACCGAAAGTAAGTGGACACATTTTGAACGTAAGAAATACAAGCTTTGAAGCGTTATGTCTCTTATTGGATAAAATTTCAAATACAGTTAATTTACAAAAAGATTCCCATGGAAGAGATTATTTATTAGCTACTTACATTCATTATCAATGTTATTTACCACATCCTTTAAATGAAGAATTAAATGAAACTTCCAATTTAATGCGTTCATCTTCTAATCCTGATTTAGAAGTGTCACATTATAATTCGAGAACGTTAGATCGAGCTTCGAGTATGCGTGCGACTACGAATGATGAACACAGTATTTATGCGATTGCTTATCAAAGAATTGTGCATCAAGAATTGATTTCGCACTGGGTAATTGCAGATACTCGTACTAAAGAACTTTCAATGAAGAATGCGTGGTTTTTATTTGAATTGATCGTAAAAAGTATGATTGAACATCTTAATTACACAAGGAGTTTAAATATGGCGCGAAAAATACGATTCCCCGAACAATTTCTCGACGATATAATGACACTTTTGCAATCGGTTATTTCAGAAATTATATCTTATTCAATGGAGAATAATAGAAAAGCTAATAAATTAAACGACGCTTTAGCGTTTTTCATTTTTGATTTATTTTCGATTTGTGATCGCGGATTTGTCATGCAACTAATAAGGCTGTATATAAAACAAACTCAATCGAAAATATCATCAATTCAAGATCCATCGATTTTAATTACATTGAAATTAGAATTTGTACGAATAATTTGTAGCCACGAATATTACGTACCTTTAAATTTACCTTTTGCGACTCCTTTTATGTCTTTGAGTGGTGCTAGCGTTTCGCCCAGTCCAAGTGTAACTAGTTCAACGAGTCAAAATTCGTTTTTATCCGGTGCTCCGGCTAGTCAAGAAAGAGCGAGTACTTTCGCTGAATTAACCACGGAATATCGTCAACATCATTATTTAACCGGATTAATTTTAACCGATTTAGTGGCGGTTCTTTCTGAACCTTGTCATTCTGGGTTGCATCAAAAAGCGGTTGATATTTTGAGATATTTGATGTATTGGCATGATACAGATCCGAGGTATTCATCGCCTGATGCTAAAAAACGCGTCGCAGCGCTTTATTTACCTTTATTGAACATCGCCATGGACGTTTTACCTTTAATGGATGTAACTGATAAGAATGATAAATATTTATTTGAAGAGGGTACATTAACATCAACGAAAAGTCACTCGGTTACTATAACAGCTATTAATAGTGAAGTAACAAAAACTTTTCTTACTTGCGTTTTGTGGCTATTAAAAAATATCGATCAAGAATCTCTTTCGCAATGGTTAGGTGAGTTAAGAGCACCTCGTTTAGCGATTATGTTGCAATTATTGGACGCTTGCGCTAATTGTTTTGAATACAAACCTCATAAAAGAACTCAACCGGCCGGTTATGTACAACAACAAGTAGTCGATGTTAAATCTCGTTTAGAAGATATGATTTTGGGGCAGGGATCCGCGAGGGAAATGATGCAAAAACGTAAAAGTAATAATCAACAAAACACCGAAAAATTACGTTGGAAGAAAGCGAATCGTTTGGGGAATGATTACGTTGAAAAAACGAAAGAGGATGTTTTAACTGATTCTCATTTAGAGGGGATGTTGGCCACGGAGGCTTCGTTTATTATATTGGATGCTTTGGAACGATGCGTTTCAACAATCGCGCAATGGGATTCGCAACAAAATTTGATCGGTTTGGCTTTAACCGTTTTATTACACGCGTTGGGAAAGAATCAAAGCATTACGGTTTTACCCCATATTTTTGCTTCACAAAGAAGTCTTGTTTATAAGGTAACTTACTTTCAAATTATATCTTCTGCACCTGATCCTTATGCTTGATGGCGTCGCATAAATTTTTTCCTATTCCTCCATCCACTTCTTCCACTTCCTCCGGTTCCTGAATAATTCCTTTATATTTGCATTTTTATCTTCAGTAAAGTCTCCACTTCTTTCTACACTTAGTTTTTTGAATTTATAGGGCGTCTCTTTTTTTCTTTTTCCATATCGTCCATATAAGGTTTATAATTTCTGCCAGCTTCTTCATCCACTATCTTCCCCTCGTCGTTTCCTTCATCCTGTACAATTATTTGTTGTATTGTAAATGAACTTTAACTCCTTTCCTCCTGAGTGCCCTTAGTTCAGTCATCAAATCATATTTCTCTCTCTGAATTTTCTTAGAGTTATCTATGTTCGTTCCTTTCAACTCTTTACCGTTTTTTAGGATATCCATCCCTCTGCCTTCCTTTGTTAGTTTTACTAATATCGGCCTATTGTTGTTTGTATCGCTTGTTAAATTTATTTCTCTTCTTTGATTCCCTTTATTGCCACATTTTTACATCTTTCCTCTCTTTCCAGCATATCTATACGTTTCTCCTGTTTCACAATCTTCCCCTTATCTTCCTCATTTTTCCTTTTGTATCCATTCTTCTCCCATCTGATGTCGCTCAGTTCCTTTATGTCTCTGAACATATTATCAATTTTTTCCATATCTAACATCCTTCGTCTATCTGTTCTATCAAATTCGATTTTTAGAATTAAATCTTCAGATTTTATTTATGAACCCCAAAATTCCTATTACGGCCCTGTTTATGCCCCCTAAATTCGTTGTAAAATTATACAACAAAACTAAAATAATAATTTAAAAATTTTTGTTTTAGTTTCATAGCGCATTATTCGACGATGAAAGTAATCATTGCGCAAAATTATGTCTACTTCTTTTAAAACATTGCGGATCAAATCTTCCATCCGTGCGATCTCAAGCTGCCGCTTCTTTGTATTTATTAATGAGACAAACGTTTCAAATTGGCAATGTAAGTGCAACCCAAAATGATCGGGATTATAAATAAATAAATATTTAACATTAAATTTTGATTTTATAGAATTTTGCAAGAGTAAAAATGCAAGTAACGATGTCATTAAGTAAATTAGTGGGTACTTCATCATCATTTAGCGATGATTCCTTAAGAAGATCATTAAAAACGATCTTAGAGTATGGAGAACGCGATAATGATCTAATTGATACAAGTTTTCCCGAACAAGTTCGTGATCTCGTTTTTAATCTTCACATGATTCTCTCAGACACAGTTAAAATGAAAGAATTCCAAGATGACCCGGAAATGCTGTTAGATTTAATGTATCGTATCGCTAAAGGATATCAAAATTCCCCCGAACTCCGATTAACTTGGCTCGATAGTATGGCACAAAAGCATAAAGAAAGAGGTAATTTTTGTGAAGCTGGTATGTGTTGTTTACATTCCGCAGCTTTGGTAGCTGAATATTTAGCAATGTTAGAACCGTTACCTCATTTACCCGATGGGGCCGCTACGTTAGAAAAAGTTAGTCCGAATGTTCTTGAAGAAAGCGCCGTTTCCGATGATGTTTTAAGCCCGGATCGAGAAGAAGGTTGTTTGGGATTTTCTGAGGGGCGTTTAATGAAACTTTTAGAGCAAGCTTCTGGGCATTTATATGCCGGTGCTATGTATGAACCTATGAACGATATTTATAGCGTTTTAATTCCCATTGCTGAGAATAACAGAGATTTTAAAAAATTAGCTTATATCCATGGAAAATTACATGATGCGTACACAAAAATCGATCAGTTACATGGAAAAAGACTGTTTGGAACTTATTTTAGAGTGGGATTTTATGGATTGAAGTTTGGGGATTTAGATGGGGAAGAATTTATTTATAAAGAACCTAATTTAACGAAGCTCCCAGAGATTTTTAGTCGATTAGAGGTATATAAAGATGTAATATTGAAATAGAAATTAATTAAATTTTTTTTTAGAATTTTTATGCTGAAAGATTCGGGTCTGAAAACACCGTAATAATAAAAGATTCCAACATAGTAGATATAAGCAATTTGGATCCTGAAAAAGCTTACATTCAAATAACTTACGTCGAGCCATATTTTGAACCACACGAATTACGACGAAGACAAACTCATTTTGACAAAAACTACAATATAAGTACGTAAATAAGTTTATTTAAATACACTGTGTTAATTAATTATCGTACCCGACGTTATTGCAAGTATGCAACCAAATACGCAAATCGCGTATTGCAACACCAATACTGTGATATTGGTTGCATACTTGCAATAATGATGTATCACTTGACTAAGCGACAAATGAATAATGTTGAGAAAAACGACATATTCGTTTTCATCTCTCTAAAAAATATAAGACTTCTCAGAATAGATAGGCTCAAACTATTGAAAATTGTTTGGTGCCTGTCCATTTTTATCACAAAATACTGATGACAGCTATCAGAAGCACAGAGGGCATACAGGGTGTTTCTGTAAGTCGTGGAATAAATTTAATTACTAAAACTAGAGATAAAATGATGATGATTCATGTAAAAATTGTTGAAAAAAATAATCTAGAGTTTGATTTTGTACTTTTAAACTGGCTTTTATTTTATATAGAATTTAAGTCTAACCAGTTTCGACCCTTGGCCATCTTCAGAGACTCTACAAATAGATTAACATCTCTCATCTTATTGTTTTATAAACAAGTTTCTTAATATTTCTATTTGTTTTGTTAAAAAAGATCACATATCAAAGTCGAAATCAGATTATTATTTACTAATTTACAAAATTAAAGTTTAAAAAGTTGTAAAATGAAATTAAGGACGAAGTGTTACAAGTTTACAGGTTAAAATTTAAGAACGCTCTTTTTTAATAAAAGAAATATTAAGAAATTTGAGAAAAATTCAAAAATCATCATGTGGCTTAAAAATCGACGATTTTTTTTAATCAATGTGAAATGACCCAAAAAACACGTTAAAAATAAAAAGAAAGTGACTAACACTAGATTAACGTCAGTTATAAAACTTTTATTATATGATAACTAACTTCAGGTTTAAAATGTCAACCTCAATTTTGATATATTTGTAATCTTCATTAAAAATCCTTTAAAATGAGTCAACTTTCGTCAATTTACGTCAATTTTGACATATTTTTAATCGTCGTGAAAAATCCTTTAAAATGAGTCCAAACATGATATGTTTAATTCCAATATTACTCGAGATATAAGCAACTTCCGGTTTAAAATGTCAATGTCATTTTGACATATTCTTAATTTTTATAAAATGTGTTAAAATTTGTCACAAAAACGGAAATATAATAAAAAAAAAATCAAAAATTAAGGTTGATATTAATATTTAAAAATTAAATTGCTATCTTCATTGTTGCTAACTTCGGATTTAATGTTTTTTATTTTAACTTTTTTGTTTTTGAGATGAGTGCGTCTTGTTTGGACTCATTTTAAAGGTTTTTTTAATAAAGAATACATCATGAAAGAACACCATGAAGTTGTCCATTTGTCTATTGTATGATAATTAACTTCAGGTTTAAAATGTCAACCTCAATTTTGACATATTTGCAATCTTCATTAAATATCCTTCAAAATGAGTACAAACACGACATATTTATCTTCAACTTCCGGTTAAGAATGTCAACGTCAATTTTGACATATTTTTAGTCGTCGTGAAAAATCCTTTAAAATGAGTCCAAACATGTTACGTTTAATTCTAATATTACTCGAGATATAAGCAACTTCCGGTTTAAAGTGTCAATGTCATTTTGACATATTCTTAATTTTTATAAAATATGTTAAATTTTGTCACAAAAACGGAAATATAATAAAAAAAATCAAAAATTAAGGTTGGTATTAATATTTAAAAATTAAATTGCTAACTTCATTGTTGCTAACTTAAGGTTTAATTTTTTTTATTCTAACTTTTTTGTTTTTTGAGATAAGTGCGTCTTGTTTGGACTCATTTTAAAGGTTTTTTAATAAAGATGACAAATATGTCAAAATTGACGTTGACGTTTCAAACCGGAAGTGATTGTATTTCTATTAATATTAAAGTTAAATATGTCGAGTTTAGACTCATTTTAAAGGTTATTTTATGAAGATTACGAATATAATAATAAAATTAAAGTTGGCATTGACAACTGAAAGTTTTTTTACGGCTAAACCCGAACCTTTCTAGTTCTAGGTCTAGTGTTAGTTCTAGTTTCTTTATTCTGCACTTTTTTAGAGATAAGTTACACCTTTACCTACCAGACAGCATGAAACTCTCTAAAAACGATAAAATGTCGCTTAGTCAAGTGATGTATAACGCGGTCCAATTAATTAGCACACCCTACATACATATATAATAAAAAGTTATTTATTTAGAACGATTTATGTACGCAACTCCGTTCACTACAACCGGTCGAGCTCATGGTGAATTACACGAGCAATACAAAAGAAAAACTATTTTAACAACATCCGTACATTTTCCTTATGTAAAAACGAGGATCCAAGTCGTTCATAGAACACAAATCATTTTAACTCCCATCGAAGTCGCAATCGAAGATATTCAAAAGAAAACGGCTGAATTAGCGGCTGCTACTTTACAAGAACCGGCTGATCCGAAAATATTACAGATGGTTCTTCAAGGTTGTATTGGCACAACGGTGAATCAAGGTCCTTTAGAAATGGCGATGACATTTTTACCTTGCGATGGAAAACCTTTGACTCTACATCAAAATAAATTGAGGCTATGTTTCAAGGATTTCTCTAAAAGGTAATTTTATTCAATTTTTATTTTACATTTTTATTATAACTCTCTTAATTCTTTGTAGGTGTAGTGATGCATTGAAAAAGAATAAAAATTTGATCGGTTCTGATCAAAGGGATTATCAAAAAGAGCTTGAAAAAAATTACCGCCAGTTTACCGAAAAATTACAACCTCTGGTTAATCCACAAAATTTAACTATTATACCTTCTTCTACATCTTCTAGGTACATCTAGAAAGTTATAGAATTAATTTTTTTTAACTTGTGTACTTTCAGTCCTTCGAAATATCGTAATAATGAATCTGGTTCTTTGAGATGGTGAAAATATAAAAAAATAATAATAACTGTATTCGTGTATGATTAGAATAAGTTTTTTTAAAACATTATTGCTGTCTAGTATTAATATCTACAAGTATTTATTAAAAAAATATTTATTTTGTACTTAATACATGTATTTTAAAAATCATCTTTTTTGTTGTTTAGATTTCACTTCACTGGGCATTGGTGGCTCCTGTAATCCCTCCTACGTGCTTAGGACTCCTAAACCTTTCCAGTATAGCCTTTCCAGACGTTGCAGCTTTTATAAATAAAGCATTGTTATTTAGTTCAAGTTTGGAGATTTATTACACACAAATCGGGAGTTATGTGACCAAATATACACGAGATTACCATACGCAATAAATAACATTGTGGTGTCTTGTTTTGTATGTTGTGGTTAAGTAAACATTTTTTAAACAACAATCTTTTTAAATATGTTATCTTTGTATAAATTGTTCAAACAAAAAGTTATTTCGTTAAATTCAAAAAGATTTTCACGAAATTTCTCTCAATTTTGTATATTAGAAGAAGTAGAACACGCATTAAAAAATCAACTACCTGTTGTCGCATTGGAATCTACAATTATCACTCATGGAATGCCGTTTCCCAAAAATATAGAATGCGCTTTGTCGGTGGAAGAAGAAATTCGAAAAAAAGTTTGTTATTTTCAAAATTAATTAAGATATAAATGTTTTAACTTAACAAATAAAATTTAATAGGGTTGTGTACCAGCAACGATAGCGATTTTAAATGGAAAAATTAAGGTTGGGTTAACGAAAAACGAATTGGAATTGTTAGCTGACAAAGAAAATAATAAATCAATAAAAACTTCACGAAGAGATTTTGCTTATGTTGTTGCAAATAAATTAAATGGTGGGACTACAGTATCTGGAACATTATTGGTTTGTAAAAAAGTGGGGATTCCAATTTTTGCGACAGGCGGTAAATTTAAAATCAAAATTTCAAGGTATAAAAATAACTTACCGCTTTCTTTTCAGGCATCGGAGGAGTTCATAGATTCGGCGAAAAAACATTAGACATTTCCGCCGATTTAATCGAATTGGGTAAAACTCCGGTCGCAATTTTTTCAAGTGGAGCAAAATCAATATTAGATATCCCAAAAACGCTAGAATTCTTAGAAACTCAAGGCGTTTTCGTCGCAACTTACGGAGATACAACGGAATTTCCAGCTTTTTATTCCAAAAAAAGCAAACATCACGCTCCTTATAATGTCAAAACGTCTTTAGAAGCGGCAAAAATCATTTTTGCTAATCACGTAAATTCATTGCAATCGGGAATGTTATTTGGTGTCCCCGTTCCGGAAGAACACTCATTAGATGAGAATGAAATAGAGGAAATTATTAAAAATGCTTTAGAATTAGCTAAAAAAGATAATGTTGTTGGAAAAAATATTACACCTTTTCTTCTGGATCATGTTTCGAAAGCAACTAAATCTAAATCTCTTGAAACTAGTATCCTTAAAAATGCTTTAAGTTTCTTCTAACACTTAATTTTTATGTATTAATTATAAAGCAAATATTTGGCAATCCTTTTTATTTAACAATCAAGTTAAGTTTACACTTTTAAGATTTGTTGTATTACTTAACACAATTTAGATATTGCATTGGTGAAAAATAACGCAAGAGTTGCGGCTGAAGTATCCTTAGAATTGAGTAGGATTAGAAAGGACAATAAAGGGATTAAAGAGACCGTAAAAGCATCACAAAAGGAAACCAAAAAGCGACCGGTATGTGTAACATTCACTTTAACATTGTCTATGTATCTATTACTCTTCCACGCTTTGGGGATTTCACGGAAACTTTTCGTTTCCGCCCACCGCCTCACAAAACTTTTCCCTCGTTAACGAACCTACAAAATCGATAAACGTTGCATCCGGAGGAACCAATTAGTAATAATTGCAATTATAGGCCCAAAGTAAACTTCAGGAACGATACGATATTATTACCTCAATATATAATTGGATTTTGAGAGTTTTGACAAAATGGATTTTCGAACAATTTTACGGTTAATGATTTATTGAAACTACGTGTTGAAAGCTTATGGTTCATTTCCGGAAACGTTCGTTCGTTTCCAGATGAAAATGCAAAACCGGTCTGAAGCTTAACGTTTTGAAACGAGGCAAAAGCAATCGTTAATAATTAGTCGCGACTTGCACGGAAACGATTACGATGATTTATCGTTGACGTTGCCGTGTGAAAGGAAAGTGGATTACTTACCATTATGCAATGAATCGACTAAACGTTAGAATGAGGACGAAGCTTCGCATAAAAATAAATTATTCACTATTTTCTTGTGACATCCTATTTTTATCTCGACTTTTCCTGTTGGTTCCGTTTAATAAGATCTACGTTTTCTAGTAGAGATAAAAGAGCGTAGCTTCAAGCTGACGCGGAGCTTATAAAGGGATTTATACCAAGTGGAAAAACAAAAGGAACAATGTTTGCCGGTCCTCATCTCCTCCTTCGGATAAACTGCTGTAATATTCACGAGGTTATTACGTTAAAAATACGCTTTTTTACAAACAAGGAAAAAAAAGGGTTTAAAAACTTTTTAGTTAGGTTAATTAAATGTTCCGGAAATTTAATGTTATTATGTTAAAGCAGTTACAAGAGGAGTTCGTTTTAAAATTGTTTTTTCGTTCATTTATCATTTATTTTTTTTTTTAGTTTTAATTATTATACTGTAAAACCTCGATATAACGGATTAATACTATAATATTAGTTCTAGAACGTTCTAGACCTAGAACGCACCATATTTTGTGTATTGACGATTTCTCCGCCACTTCTACAACTGTAAAGAAAACTTAGGAAAGCTGTGATAGCGCTTGATAATGAAATAGAATCGTTGAATACCAAGTTAAGAATTTCGATAGTCTAAGAAAAAATTAAGAGAAATAAATAAGAATGGCTACCGTTCACACATTTGGAGCACTTAAGTAGAAAGTTAATAAAAATTGCAAGGATCTGAGGCTATGACCTTTTTATAATTATAGATTGCTCAAAATTTGCTTACATAATGATAGAAATGTCAAGACAACCCAACCGTTAGACACTCAGAATCCTTTTGGAGATATGCAGATGAAGTTCAGATGAATAACCAGGATCTTGCTAAGCACTGATAGTGGATCTTTGCAAGTTACAGCAACAAAGCGTAGGCATTGAGCATCGATATAACTTTTTGGCAAAAACAAAGCGCACACAGGTCATGGTATTTTGAAAACTTTTTCGAAGAATCCTCAAAAACACTTTTTTGCTTAACTAGCTTTCTTGAAGAGCCCACCGGTGACATAAACAATAAATGGATGGACGCACTTTTCAAGCAATTTCAGTATTTAGCTAACAAAAATTGCAAGAATTTGAGGCTATGATGCTCTTATCAGTATAGTTTGCTCAATATTTGCTTAGATCATGATAGAAAAGTTAAGCCAACCCAATCATTAGACACTCAGAAGCCGTTTGGGGATATGCAGATGGAGCTCAATCCAACATACTATAGCATACTATAGCAGGATTTTGCTAAGCACTGACAGTGGATCTTTGTAGGTTACAGAAACAAGGCGTAGGTTTCGCAGAGCAATATTTTTATTCGTTTATTAAGGAAGAAACGGTGTTCATAAAGAGATTTAAGAGCACAGTACGACCGCCGCATCATTGAACTAACATGCTGCGTAAAACGAAGTTCGGAATCCAGTATGACACCCAAATTTTTTGCTACACTTAAAATATTCAATGGACTATTTTTATTTACTCTTATTTAACTTACTCTTATCGGGGTTAATAACCAAATTATGCTTTTCTGAAAGGCTAACTAGAGCATCCAGGTCCTCGTTAATATGTATTTGCGCAGCAGCAAGATCTGTTTCATTAAAAGATGAATATATCTGAGTGTCATCAGCATAAGCACGATACTTACAATGATGCAGACAGTCGTATAACCGGCATGTATACGCCGTATACAAAATGGGACACAATACAGAACCCTGAGGTACACCGGATATAACTTGAGTAGGTCTAGATCTATTTCCATGTATCATGGCGCATTCAGATGACGTCTAAGTTGTTTCAATTTAATACTAATCGGTCTTGCTTTAGCGATACATAAAATGATCGATTCTTTCCAGCAAGATGAAAAAACATGTTCAGTTTTACAAAAATTAAAATGTGTCTGATGAAATGTATGATCAAGGGAGAACATATGTTTATCATAGATATAGAAAGCTGGTCAGCTCCCTAAGCATTAGAAGAAATAGCGCTTAAGGCATCTCCTACCTCCTCCTCAGTCACCGTAGTAAACTCAAACATTTCCACATTGTTACTATAAAAATTTAAAAGGTCTACATCTGGCAGTCGGTCACTTTGATTTCATCAACATCAGAAAGTGAGAGGAATCTCCCTACTTTTGTTATAATGGACACCGCACTTCTTTAAACTTGACCATAATTGCTTTTTATTTTTACTCCTTGCCGAGAACTCTACATAAGCTCTTTTCTCTCTTTTTATTGCACCTATAGTATAATTACGCAACATTTTGTAATAGTCCCAGTCATGTAAACTGTTTGTGTGTTTAAATTTATGAAGTGCTTTGTCCCTTAAATCCATCAAAAGTTTCACATTATTTGTTAGCCAAGGTGTTATAATAGGCGCTTGTCGATCAAATAAATTTACAATATTATTATTTAGAAAATTCAGTTTGGCATCAACATCATTGAAATCAAAGCCACTGAACTTCTCTTAAATCGGACATAAACAATTCATTATCAATGTTAGTATCGATATAACTTTTGCCAAAAACAAAGCGTCTGAAGACGCAGAGCTAAATCCGTAACTTTCTAGGTCTAGTGTTAGTTTTAGTTTTAATTTCAGCACTAAAACTAAACCTAGAATTAGAAACATTCGAGTTTAGCTGTACGTCTTTTAAGATGGCTAAACCTGAATATTTCTAGTTTTTTCTATGTAATAGATAGAATCTATATGACGATATTTTATTGTGATTAATTTTTTATTGCAGGTTATTATTGGTGGATCTGTTTTGGATCGATGCATAACCGTTTTAGAACCAGAAATAAAAGTAAGTACATAATTTATTATAAATACAGGATTCGCACGGGTAAATAAATCAATAGTATCTAACAATACACTTTATTAAATAATAGATAATATATACATTCAACAGAGTTAGCAGCTTTTTCGTCTCTTAACAAACTCTACACTAAATATTTCACTATCGGGAAGCGTAGGTTACAGTCCTTTTCATTTAAAGATTTTTTGTTTTAATAATCTCATTATTATTTTATTCGTTTATATAATTAATTTTTCTCTCTCCTTCGCTTTTTCCCTATTCTTTTTATTCCTTTACATATCGATATAATCCAACGAAACCCCCTTTTATTTTCCGTGGTTCTGAACTCTAAGGACCGGTCCGTGTGCTGTCCAGATAAGTTTCCGCTCGTTTTCCCAAAACTTTTCTCGACATCGACCGACATTTAAACGGCATTCGAAGGAAAATTACCACCACTGCAAGGGTTAACTCCGATAACGACTCAATTTCTAAAAAGTTTTAACCCAGGATTATAGAGATTAATTCAGTACTTTTCAGTTAGTTATAGGAAACTGCAAACGCTTTTAATCTACTCCTCTTTTCTTATTCTCTTTGCTGTAAAATCTGTTTACTTGTTATTACTTGTTAATCTTGTAGCCTGGGTGCAAAACTTTCAACATGACGTTATCTGAACTCCTCCCTCGCGATTAGTTTATTATTGTAAAGTTTCAATTATCGTGCAAAGCAAGCAGTTGCCCTTCTCAAGTATCAAACACGCGACAGCCATGATCGCCTCTTACACGCAAATTAATTCGTAAACTAACTTGGTGATGATAATATCATCTCGCATTTACAGCTGTGGCAAGATTTAGGGTGGTAATAAACACCGTTCTCAGTCGAAATCGATATGAAGATGACAAGGGAAAAACACCGGACACGAGGAGAACGTTTAAATAGATACGTTTACGAGTATTTTTAGTAATTTACGTTTTTACCTTTTAAACATCGTTAATCTAATTTGGAGTTTTGGTGTTTATAGTTTTCTTTATCTAAATTTTTTTTTTCATGTAGTTTATTTCGAATATTTTCTAATATTATAAACTCCACTTTTATTTATTTCTTTTCGTAAGTATAATTTTTTTTTATACAATAGGTGTATCTACTGATTGAGCGATTGTATTATATAAAATACAAGTTTTATTTACAAGTATGTTCACACCCTTTTTTTGCTCTCGTATCTCTATTTATGCGGGGAGTTTGCACTCGTGACACAATCTGTTACTATTATTATGTTATTATTATGAGTATTATTTACACATTGTACACAGGATGAGTTAAAAAAAATAGAAAGCAATTTTGAAGCAAAGAAATCGTTTGCTACACCATAAATGAATGCCTAAATTGTTATTAGCAAATGAGTAAAAAAATGTGTATTAAATAATTTATCAATTAACAACCATGTATGGCATTTTGGCTGTACAATACCATTACTAATGACTCATAGTCGTCTATAGATCCGCTCTCAACTTGAATAGGTTGAGATCCAAATTGTGAGATATTTTGTGTATTGACGATTTTTGCACCACTTCTACAACAGTAATGAATTTCAATACTTTAAGAACAAATTATGAAAAACAAACAAGAATGGCTACCGTTTACACACCTGGAGCCGTTTATTTAGAAAGTTAACAAAAATTGCTAGGATCTGAGTCTATAATTGTAGTTTGCTCAAAATTTGCTTACATAATGATAGAAAAGTTAAGCCAACCCAATAATTAGACACCCAGAAGCCGTTTGGGGATGTGCAGATGGAGTTCAATCCAACATACTTAAGCAGGAATCCTGCTAAGCACTGACAATAGGATTCTTGTAGATTACAGCAACAAGGCATCGATACATCCTTTTTTGCCAGAAAGAAGGAATCAACAAAAAGTCACAAATTTCAGAACATTTTGTTTAACAACAAGCTTTCTTTAAGAAACCATCGTGTTCCAAATTGTCTGAGCAAAGCATTTTAGCTTTGTGTTGAACAAAAACAAGATGGTGTGAACGAGGGTGTCGTGGTTTTCATTAACTAGCAAAAAGAAAACGCAAATTTCAAATGGTACAAACAAGGCATTCAGGAATATTTTTTGAAAATCCAGCAAAAGGCAGAAACTGCAGATGGTATGTACAAGGCTTTCCATCATTTCCTTCTTCAAAGAAACAGCAAATATCTTTTTCAAGAAAACAACAAAGGTTATGAGCCTTAGACGGAGCTAAAAAGAAGATTAGGAAGATTTGATTAAGTTAACTCTTTGTTAAGAGAGTAACAATAAATGCAAATTCTGAATGGTGCCAGATACCAGATGGGCGAACAAATTCTCGTTGAAACCTTTCTTATGCAACTAGCAAGAATATCGCATATATTGTCCCTGGTCTCTCTCTTCCAACTCCTACTCCCGACCGTCCCCTCGGTCTCACTCCCCGCATTTTTCAAGAAGATCCATCCTCCTCCCGAGCAGGCCCAAATATTCTCCTCAAAATCTTTCTCTCGAAGTACGCTCTATTGGCCAGGACTGGCATATATCAATGCAAAGCAAGCATTAATTCAGCTTCTTTCAACAAAACCAGGTAACAATGGGAATACCTGATGGTGATAAGTACACATTCGAACTGGTCGTACAAAATCTGAATAATGGCTACAAACCTTTTCGTCATCTAACCTTTTTTTCAAGAAACTAACTCTTGTGCAAACTGCTGATGGTGCAAATAAGACATTAGAATTTATTGTTAAGCTAAGCTTTTTCAAGTAACCAGGATAACTGCAAATTCCAGATGAACCGAACATTTCAGATTCTGTTGAACAAAAATAAGATGCTGTGAGTGAGGGATTCGAGGTTCAAACGCAAATTCCAAACGTTGCAAACAAGGCATTCGGGGTTCGTTGAGCTATTTTTTTTTAAAGCAGCAAAAATCTTTTTCAAGGAAACAACAAAGGTTATGAACCTCAGAGGGGGCGTTGAAACCATTCGAAGATTGGATTAAGTTAACCCTTTTTAAAGAAAATAGCAACAAATGCAAAATCCAGATGGTACAATCTTTGGGTTAGTCTTTTCCGCAATATCTGCTATACAGACAACACCTGGATTGGGTGAATTTTAAAATAACTTTTCTTATGCAACTAGCAAGAAGAACGCAAATACCAATGCAAACTAAGCGTTCAAGACATTCGTTTTTTAGACATTCGAGCTTTTTGTTGAACGAACCGTCTTCAAAACATGAATCAAGGGCACAAAATCTGGATATCAGCTTTTCGGTCATCCAACTTTCTTTTTTCAAGAAATCAACTCTTGATGATCAATAAATTTTATATGGTGTAAATAAGGCATGTGAGCTTATTGTTGAGCTAAGGTTTTTCAAGAAACCAGGATAAACGCAAACTCCAGATGAAGCGAACATTTCAGACTCTGTTGAACAAAAACAAGATGCTGAGTGAGTGAGTGAGGGATTCGAGGTTCGAACGCAAATTCCAAACGGTGTAAACAAGGTATTCAGGGTTTCGTTGATCTAATTTTTTTTTAAAGCAGCAAAAGGCAGAAACATCATTTCCTTGAAGTAATCGTTTTCTAACAAGCAGCAAAAATCTTTATCAAGAAAACAACAAAGGTTACGAACTTAAGAGGGTTGAAACCATTCGAAGATTTGATTAAGTTAATCGTTTTTAAAGAAAATAGCAACAAATGCAAAATCCAGATGGAACAATCTTTAGCTCTGCCTTTTCCGCTATATCTGCTATACATACAACACCTGGATGAGCATATTTCTCGTTGAAATAACCTTACTTATGCAACTAGGAAGGATAACGCAAATACCAATGCAAACTAAGCGTTCAAGACATTCGTTTTTTAGACATTCGAGCTTTTTGTTGAACGAACTGTCTTCAAAACATGAATCAAGGGCACAAAATCTGGATAATGACAGCAAGGGATGTCAGCTTTTCGGCCATCCAACTTTCTTTTTTCAAGAAATCAACTCTTGATGATCAACAAACTTCTGATGATGTAAACAAGGCATGTGAGCTTATTGTTAAGCTAAGGTTTTTCAAGAAACCAGGATAAACGCAAACTCCAGATGAAGCGAACTAACCTTTTTCAAAAAGCAACAAAAATCTTTTTCAAGAAAACCACAAAGGTTATGAACCTCAGAGGGGGCGTTGAAACCATGCGAAGATTTGATTAAGTTAATCCTTATTAAAGAAAGTAGCAACAAATGCAAATTCTAGATGGTGCGATCTTGGCTATAACTTTTTGTATGCAACTTTCTAGAAGAAGGCAAACACCAATGCAAACCAAAATCCCTTAGGAAAACAGGTAAGATTGGGAACACTTGGTGCTGGTAACTGGACATTCAAGGTTTTTGTCGAAGGCCTTCAAAAAATGTATCAAGGGCACAAAATCTGGATAATGGCAGCAAAGCATTTCAGCTTTTTAGTCATCTAACTGTTTTTGTAAACAGGTTAGTTCCTTTCCTCTCTCGATCGAATGACATTTCTAATGATCAGGGATGTTTGTTCTACTTTTGTGTTGAGCCACTTGCGAGGAGAATATAATTCTCAAAACACCAGGGAAAAGAGTCCATAGAGAAGAAGTCACCATACAGAACGGAGATATCTTGATGAAATACCTCGATGGACAGTTCAGGGAAAACTTTTCTTCTGCCAACACTTCCGGCTAAAGTATGATGGTTTCCACCCAACAAGTAGTTTAGACACCAAAAATAAGCAATTTGTGCAAATTAAAAACTGAATTTGGTTGCTTTATAGATGGATTTAGTTATTTTTTGTTTAGGTGAGTATGCTTGAGGGTTTGTTAGAGTTGCCTTAAATCTTTTGCAATTAGATTGGGTACCCAAAACAGCTCAAATCAACTACATGTCAACCTTAAATTCTAATGAGTTAAATTGACTTATTTGGAATTACTTTTCTTTGGAGTTGGGTTACTTTAGGGTTAGAATTCCACCTGTTCGAATTGGATTAGAAACCTGATCTTGGGCAACCTGCTGATGGTCCAAATAAGACTTTTGACCCAAGCTTTTTCATGAAACTGGGATAAACGCAAATTCCAGATCAAGCGAACATTTCAGCTTTCAGTTAATTATCTTTCTTTTTGAAATCAGCTACTCTTAGCTGATTTCAAAAGAACACCAGTTGAAGTGAACAAGGTATTTAAACTTTCTTAACTTTCTGGACATTTTACTACCTATCTTTATTTTAGTATTTTCTAGTAATAACTTGTTCCTTTTTATCTGTATTATCTAACATGCAATATTTGGCAAAATCGTGTTTCTGAGTGATTAAAATGTTTAATTCTTTTTAAGTCACCTGTGTATAAAAGAATTAATTTTGAGTAAAATTTTGTTAAGTCACCAGGTACTTTTTAATTTTCGTAATAATATTGGTCAGGATTAATATCTTTTAGGAATTACTCTTTTGGCTTTAACTCGATTGAATCACGAGGCTTTAAACGACCCTATATACATATACGTATAGTATTTATGCACCATGTTTTTTTTAGGTACGTCTCAATTGGCGAATATAAAAATATGAGTGATCATTTCTGATATAAAAATGAAACGGCGACAACCGCGCTATCTGAGTATCATCTACCCTGGCCTGGAGACAGGGGGGTTAAATAGAATTTCGGTAAACTTAACGGCGCCTACACCTAAAAGAATCTACGCCTAGATTATCGGTTGAGAAATTGTTTTTGAAATAGATTTAGATTGCTTGGTGAAAAAGATCAATCTTAAGTAAAACTTTACAGTTTCTTTTTGGTCTGTCAATACTTATTTATTGTGTTTATTTCGAAAATAGTGTTACAGAAAAAATCCCCATATTTAAAATTCTTTAATAGGCCTTGAGAATACTAATAAAAAAAGCTAAAATAGGGTTACTTATATTCGTTGCATGCTTTTAAAGTTTATGAATAAGAAATATTTTTAATTGGTCGTTTATTTTTCACGTTATTGTAAAGTTATATCTAAGATTAACCTCGTGATTGTGTGAAGTTGAATAGATTTTGTTAGATGAATGAGTGCAGACAGCGACCGGTCCGTAGGCCAAATAAAGTAAGTCGATAGAGCACTTGATCGGTAACTGGCGACAAGGCGAGGCACTATCAGTAGGTAAGCTCATATAAACGTGGGTCCAAACTCTTCCTCCTCTCACAAAATCAAAAACTAAAAGAAAACAATCACTTACTGCACCGCGATCAAAAAATTTCCACGGCGTAATAATCGCTTCTCCATCGAAACCTCTGTTAAAGGTGTCGTTGCTGTCTGCGGGGTGCACTAAGAAGCGGGATGTTGATGATACGTGTTCGCCCCGCGGGCCCCTCGGTGTTCACCACTTCGGGTTGTACCCTTTAACAGCGATCGTCTCGTGACGGTGCCGCGCGGGGTCGACGCTTCTTGTTGAAGATTTCCTCCAGCGGGGTGGCCAGGGGGCCCTTCTTAACGCGACCCCACCGGCCGCGATTGAAGAGACCCTCCAGGCGATACTTTAGTCAAATGTTCTCGTGACTTCGAAACTCCCTCATCTCGAAATTATTGTTCCCGTTCGGGTTCTTCGTCTGCGTCATCGGCGATGAAAGCAGCGCCACGCTCTCGGGCCGTACCAAGAGGCTCTCACGTTCACTTTCGGGCCCAAGTTCGCGAACTGCTCCCGGTACGGCCCCATTGACGCCTGTCAGATCCATTTCGGCTCTAAGAATGCGTATTTTCTGGATCATCTCGCGGATCTCGTATCGGAGTATCCCGAGGAAGCACAGCTTGAGGAAGGCCAGTACGCAATAGCCGAGGATCGTAAGGATCGATGCCGTTGATCGGAGATATGCCACCAAACGTTCTTCGCAACCTATCATATGCGTTCTCTGACACTTCGTGCTGTTTTGATTCGTTTCCGCGCAGCAACTTGCTGGCATTTCCCACCTTTCGGTACCGTTTCTGTAATCTTGTGGACCCGTTATGCCACAGCAAGAGTCTTCCGTTTGTAAACGATCCCAAAGTGTTGCTAGTTCGTTTCCGGGCATGTATTCTTGTTGAAATCGGGCTTTTAATGCTGGTTTCAATTCTTGGCAGACTTTTTCAAAACGGAATGCCCAAAATGCACCTTAAACAAAATTTTTTTGATTTGTATATACATTAGAGTGTTCTTTTTGGGTCTACTACACCGACGTTTCTTTCGATCTAAAATATTTTCAACATGGTCACCACTTCAAGTGCACCGGAAGTAGATCACAAAATCGTTATTTTGAATGAAATTTTAAATATTTTCAATAATGTTATATTATAGTTTTTATATCATATCATAAACTAGAATCTTTAAGCTACAATTTAACATACATATTATGTCATAATTCAAAAAAATACAGTCTATATGATTTTTTGAAAAGTTGTTATTTTTTTTGACAATTTCTTCTTTAATAATAAATTGTAATAATTTAATCATATCATATAATTTTTTTATTATATCATAAACTATAATCTTTAAGCTACAATTTCACGAACATACAATAGATATGATTTTTTGAAAATTTCGTGTTATTTATAAATTTGATAATTTCTTCTTTAATAACCGTTTTCTGGAAATTTTAATAATATTATCCTATAGGTTTCATATCATATCATAAACTCGAATCTTTAAGGTTCAGTTTAATATACATATCATATAAAGATTTTAAAAAATACAGATAATATGATTTTTTGATAATTTTGAGTTACTTTGATTTCTAAATTTGACAATTTCTTCTTTAATAACTTTTTTCTGGAAATTTTAATAATATTATCATATAATTGTTTTATCATATCATAAACTAAAATCTTTAAGCTTCAATTTAACATACATATCATATAATGATTCTAAAAAATACAGTCGATATGTTTTTTTGAAAATTTCGTGTTATTTTTGATTTATAACTTTGACCATTTTTTCTTTAATAACATATTCCTGGAAATTTTAATAATATTATCATATAATATTTTTATCATATCAAAAACTAGAATCTTTAAGTTTCAATTTAACATACGTATCATATCATGATTCTAAAAAATGCAGCCGATATGAGTTTTTGAACATTTCGTGTTATTTTTGATTTATAAATTAGACAATTTCTTCTTTAATAATTTTTTCCTGGCAATTTCAATAATATTATCATATAATTTTTTTATCATATCATACACTAGAAGCTTTAAAGTACAATTTAACAAACATTTTTTGAAAATTTTGTATTATTTTTGATTTATAAATATGACAATTTCTTCTCTAATAACTTTTCCTGGAAATTTTAATAATATTATCTTATAGTTTTTATATCATATCATAAACTGGAATCTTTAAGCTTCAAATTTTCAACTTTGTTGTTTGTATAGTGGCTAAGAAATACAATTTTAAAAGACTCATTGATAACTGCTGAAAGAGAATGAAAATTAAAATAACTGGAAAACGAAAAGCTCTAGCTTGCAACAATCCCTGTCAATGTCAACCTACATAGTTTACTGTAACAAATTTGAATATGTAATAAAAACCACAACATTCCATTTAAAATAACGATTTTGTGGTCAACTTCCAGTGGTCTGAAAGTTGAGAATATCTTGAAAATGTCTTATATATAAACAAAATTTCAGAAACGTAGGTGTAATAGACACAAAAATATCGGGGTTTCGCTGATTTTTTGGCGGACACTGTTTATTTTTAAATAATCTAAAATTTATAAATTGTGTAATATTGTATACTTTTGTTTTTTAAACAATTTTTAGAATTTCATGTACAGTAGAACCTCGATATAACGGAGCTCGTTAGAACGGAGGCGAACTTCAGACGCACGACTAAGCTCGAATGATTCTAGTTCAAGGCCTAGTCTTAGTTTTGGTGCTAGAACTAACACTAGACCTAAAATTAGAAACATTCGAGTTTAGCCGTGCGTCTCTTAAGATGGACAAACTAGAATGTTTCTAGTTCTAGGTCTAGTGTTAGTTTTGGTGCTAGAACTAAACGTCTTCAGACGCACGGCTAAATCCAAATATTTCCAGTTCTAGGTCTAGTGTTAGTTCTAGTTTTAATTATGATTCTCTTAAGACGGCAAAACCAGAAAGTTTCTAGTTTTAGATCTAGCTGTAGGAATTTGACTGCATTAAAATAAATGAAATAATTTAATGTGCAGATAAAAAACTTTTCATGTAACGGATTTTGCCTTCCTCATATTAACCCATTATATCGAGGTTTTACTGTATTTAAATATGTTACGTCTCAAAATGTTTCTGGCAAGAGACGAGTTTTAAAAAGGTTTATTTTTTTTACCTATAACTATATCACCAAAGAGGAGTACTAGCAGCAGGAGCCAGTAGGCATTGAGCAGTCGCTCGGAAAGGCGTATAGCGGCGACGCAGCCGAGCAGCTGAAGGGCGCCGCCCTGGGTTGCCAGGGCTAGATACGCGTAGAGGAAGCTCGGCTGGTAGAGCGTCAACGACGGCACCAGGGTGCGTCGATAATCAAGCAGGACGTTTTGTACGGCAGCGCCGACGAAGGCTAGTGTTCCTGCTAATATGACTGTGTTGCATGTGTATATCCAGAGGCGGTAGTAGCGCATCGCGCGTGATCCTATTTCGGCGGCTGCTGCCGCGCTCGACGCTGTACCGCCGCCGCTGCCGCCCTTGCAGCCGCCGCCACCGCCCCGACGCAGCGGCATCCGACGACGGAGCCCCCCCTCACCAGGCCCGTTGCCCATCGCCCCCCATGCAAAAATACCTAAAACAAACAAAAAAAAAACAGATTATCATCAGGTAGAAATTTTAAATGCTTACATGACTCGTAAATTGGGATAGTTCTAAAAATCTTATGGCAATATTTTCCTCTTCGCGGTCTAGAATAGATCGTAATTCGTGACCGTCGTGACTTCTTATTTACCGACCGGACGTAAAGAAAAATTTACTCCTTTTCAAGGAAAGAGCTGATGATAAGGAAAATTACGTTCTCTACTAAAATACCTTCCCTTTTAAATTTATTTAATGGTTTGAGTAATACACTTCAAATGTTTTTCTAAAAGATTATCTTTGACAGTTAGTAATTTAAGGCTCCCACAAAAACATTCCAACATTATATCAATATGGTTTAATAGGTCACGGTTTAATTGATCCAAAAGATTAATATCCAATTTCGTCTCGTATCTATTGGAGATACACGAGAGTATTTTCCCGGGTTATATTTCGACACTAACATCGCTCGACATTTTTACGAGCCAAAAGTTTCCACGAATAAATCACAAAACTCTAGTTCCCCACCGCGCCACAGATTCGAGTTTATCACCCGACCACGACAACGTGCCTTTATTAAACAGGTAACCATTAGTCACGCAAATCGCGGATAAGCCTGTCCTTTCAGCGGTTTTCTATCTATATGGACAACCAACGGTGGTAAAAGGTCTTTTTTTCAAAAAAGAAACCGATAAGACATCAACCCACTCAAGCGTATCCTTTGTGTTTCGAAACTTTTTTTATTCCTTTATGCATCAAAGAAAACCTCCGGAAACCATTTGTTATTTCGATGTAAAGTTCAACCAAGTATAGATTTATGATATACACGTAACGGTGAATATAGGTATTAAAGTTTAGTTTATAGTTGGAAATTTTTGTTTTTGAATTAGTCAATCCTCTAAAAGCCTTTAATGACATCCGGCTCAGCTATTCATGTTCGTAGAGGGAAATCCCGGAAAATCCCACCAAGATTTGAATAAACTAAAACCCCGAAGCACTTCGCCCTTGGAGTTCACTCAGGTGTTTAATTTGTTAATATTAATGGCATAGGCCGTATAGCTTAAGTGGTCCAGCTACGAACGAATACCAGAAGTGTTTACACTCCATTATTCACGGTTAGCCACTAATTGTTTTGTACCGCATTCGCAGAAACTCAACAATTCAGAAGTAAAGTTTACTCGGGAGCTACAACTGTTGTTTAAATTGTTACATTTTTAACACATTTTTTTAATATCATAAACCAGTGATGTTTTGGAGTTTTTTACTTTATTAACATTAAATTAATTGATTGATGAGCTTACAAATCATTGCCCATTTTTTCAAATCGTTTAATTAAAGTGGATTCCGTCAATTCCTGCCAAATTTTTCTCTCAAACTGTTACCATAAAATAAATCGATAAGATCCTCTAACTCTCCAGAAGTAAATTGAGACGTTTTTCAAACCACATCATTCATTTCTAACATTCTACATCTTTGTTCGTTATAGATAAAAAATTTCGTCAAAACGTCATCCAGTGTAATGCAACAAAGACTAGTTTATGGGATAGGTTTGATTTTTATACAGTTTTTTAAAAAACTTTCCTTTCAATGGATAAAATTTCCTAAAATTTCCCAGGTTCACCACATACTCTAAGCGTTTCTCTATGAATAATGCAATGGATTTACAGTGCATTTGGTGATTTGCTTCAAATACGCGCTAAGTAATCCTCCACAGCAGCCAGAAATGAAGTGAGTTTTATTAGTGCAGATACCAACGAATTTAAATTAATTCAAATTATTTTCAGATATGAATGTATCAAGAGTCTCGAACGGGTATTGAGTAATGATATTTTTACAAAATAATAGCACATCAAACGAGCATCCTTATTATTATCAGTAGCTTCATTTAACTGCAAGCCAAAATCGACATCTTCAAGTTTTTCAATTAATTGGACCGGCTTTTCGCAAAATCACTAGCCTTAGGCATAAGTATTCGTTTGGACTTGGTACCTTCTGTACGGGTATTGCTTCTAATACACAAGTATTAATAATATTTGTTATATGATGTACGATTACAATACTAATATAGTAGACGCCACGAGAGCTGGCAGTAAATCATCGTTTTCCGCTCTTACAAATGCCATATGTAGTAAATTAAAATTCACAAACCGCTAGAGAATAATATGTGTTAGAAAGAGATAGCATTAGTTTAATATGTCTGCTGTACAATTCAAATAGCCACGTCGAAAAAGTACGTCTGTTCTTCTAAGGGATGTAACTCTATAATTATAACCTGAAAGCGAAATGTCTTGTGAGCGTTGTCATGAATCTGTTAGTGTTTTCACAAGCCGAAAATGAAATAAATGAATAATTAATGAATAAATTATGAACCAATGTTTAAATAAAACTTACTTAACCCTTGTGTCCCAAGAAGTCAAACATTTTGAAACTTTGTGACAGAATCAGACAGAATTAAAACGCTATCAAAATACACGCAGTAAAGGCCTTTTGAATAAAATTTTAGCAAAATATGCAATCCCCCTATTTTCGCATAGTCTAAGTGTCAAAAAAGATGCTAATTCAAAAATTCCTGGAAACCGTGTTTATTGAAATTAAGAAATAAAACTTATTTTAAATTGAAGCTTGAAGCTTTCTGTTTAAATCGATGTATAACAATCGATGGGTTGAATTAAAAAAATATTGAGAAAAAGAGTATTGAGTTAAAACTAACATTTTCGTATAACCAACGAGCTACCAAAACGAAAGAGGCAATTCGCTGACTGCATTAAAAAGTAAGCGCCTAAACGTAAAAAATGAATGCTGAAACAAATCAATATCGAGCTTATCAGCCTGACGAGCCATTCGCAACATAGGGGAGTTTCGAAAAGCATTGGTGCGCGGAATAGGCGTACAGAACAAGAAATTAAAGCGAAGAAGACGGGGAGGTACATGAATATTGACCGAATTCAAAAGAACTGTGGAATCACACATATTGTGTAAAACCTTGTAGAAGAATAATGTGTCGTTACACAGGCGACGTTGTCGAAGGGGCATTAACCGAAAAGATCTGCAAGACGAATGATAATTAATATAAGGTATGGAAGATTTAAAGTTTAGATATTTCAAAAATCTAGATTGAATTTTTTCAATTCGGTCAATATAAATAAGGTATTGGGGATTCCAAACTACAGTGCAAAAATTAAGAATACTGTAAACATATGCGAAATATAAATTTTTAATCGCGTCAACGCTTACAAAGGAAGAGGTGGATCTCATAATGAAACCGAGCATACGCCAAGCCTTATTAACAGTAGTGTCAATGTGCTGTGCGTAGAGAAGCTTGGGATCAAGAGTCACCTCTTCAATAA